GCAAAACTGCCTCAAGTAAATTATCATTCTTTTAATTAAAAATTCACACCCATGAATGGGGAGAATGAAAAGTTTAATGCTTCCATATTTTTACATTTTAAGCAATTAAATGTGGTGTTGTTTAGAGAGAAATTCTGAGCTCAAAAATATGGTCTCATGGTCTACATCCAGCCCTGAACATCACCAATTTTGGGATAGGTACAGTGCATGGTAGGTACCGTCAACATATGAACTGAGTTAGGCCATTGGATTTTGAAAGGTGTACCAGAAATGTACATGGAATTCATGAAATATATAACATCTAATTAAAACCAAAATAGGTCTTTCGTTGAACGCCAGTTGTGGTCCCGGTACCGGTATTCCAGTATTCTGTTATCACAAGCGGTCGGAGCACATATCCCACAGAGCACGGCGCGTTGCCAGAATCTCATGGTCTAGTGAGAATGACGTCATCGGAAACACCGCGCTCATTAAAATTTCAATGAACGATTATTAAAAATCTTGACCATGTTTATCACATTAAAATTATCAAAAAAGATGTAAAAAATATTCTATCCTCAAAACTGCTCACGTATACAATGAAAGATATCTAGAAAATTACATAAAATGCAAATTTCTGCTCTGGTGATCACATTCCCATAAGAGCTAATGTTAAAAAATATTTTTTTACATCACTTTTTTTTTTGCGCGTAGGATGGGTTTTTAATACATAAGGTCTATTATAGTAACAAATTATAGCTGTTTTGTCGATTATATTTTTTACGCAAAAGAATTTACGAGTAGACTAAATTATATTATAGCGTAACAAGTATAAAATTCGCAATTACTCGTTCATTAAGCCTATAAGTTTAGATAAATTACAACAAAACGCAGGGAAGTTGATGCTAGGTGTAAATGGTTTAATGGCGCAAAAAATATTCAAATGTTCAGTCTTCGCGCGCTAAAAGTTAACTTCTGATCTGTGTTATAAAATGTGATTCATCGGTCATTCATTCGATTTTTAACTTTCTAAAAATATGTGCGGCCCACCAATGATTTGCAACCGTTAATTTTGGCCCGCGAGCGACAAAAAATCGCCTACCCCTGATGAAGTCCTTTATATTTAAAATTTTGACAAATGTCAAAATATTAGACCAAGCATGACTTAGCTCGCTATACAAGGAAAAATTTTCATTATATTTGGAATAAAATGCTATAAAAGAATAAACAACATTGTCAAACCGGCAAAAAAAAGCTGCAAATGAACAAAGAAATGTGTCATTGAATCGGGTTCGTAATACTGGAGTTAACGGTTCCACACTATTTACTTGCAACTGCAAATATATACTATAAAATAATATAAAAAAGGTACTACATTAAAAATAAAACAGTATAGAAAGATGCTAAAATTATGAAATTCTTTTTCTCAAGCTTCTATTGGGCCGGAAATAAGATGTACACTAAGATAAATATGTTGTGCCGGTAATCGAAATTTAAATGCACTTTGCCGATATCTATCGAAATCTGCATTGTCATACCAAACACCCTGTCTCCTGTCCGGTGTAAGCCAATGGTACATATCTCTGCACCATAGCGTATTTTGATTGAAGTTGTTTGTAGTTATTAAATGAAAATACACACAATTATTTCACTTACACAAGAACAAAAACAGTATAATGTATAGAGTTGCCGTCTTTTCATTCGAGATGCCAATATGCTTGCAATCCATGTAAGTGTATTTTTGGACACGTAGTGGACATAACGATCGTTTCAATATTATGTTGTTGTTGTTCTTGTTCTTGTTCTTGTTCTTTGACACGTTTTTAAAAAGTCGCTTTTCTCTTTGATTACTGGACTAATTGCTTTGAAATTTTCAGTGGTTGAAGATGAAATTTTTCTCCAGAAGGCTATTACTTTTATTTATTTCAAATATTTCTGTTAGCTCTGTAAGATTTGTTTTTGTTTGCTATGACGTCACTAAACGTTCTGCGGATATCGGGCGCCATTTTGTGTCCAACGGACCATCTTGCAATTTCAATTCACGCTGTCACAAGACAGGAGTTCTGGTACAGTAACACAGCGCGGTGACACTGAACTAACTCGTAGCTGTCAAAAGCTTGAAAATCCATACAAATATGAGAAATAAAAAGATGAAACTTGGCAGGTGGGTAGAGTTGTGTTTCTTTTAATCATATTTGAAAGTTTCGCGTTTCTACATTTGAAGGAGGGGGAATAGGGGGTGTGCATTTCCGATACGTCGATAATATCTTTGTCAACCAATTTGCGGCCACCGTGTTTTCGTTTGTTTGATTGCTGTGATGTGGTGCTTTGTTTATAATTTAACGAGTTTTGTTCGAAATAACCGTGTTCTTGAAATATATGACGGTCAGAAATGCAATTAGAAGCCCAATGTTTTCACGCTGTCACAAGACCAACAATTGTCAACCAATTTGCGACCACCGTGTTTTGTCTGTTTGATTGCTGTATGGCTGCGTATGCGATAGTCTCGACGCAGCATAAACGATGATCAAGGCTTGAAATCCGTGGTCGCACACTGGTCGTTCGGTCGCAAATACGTCTTTCGAGTGCCGTACTTTGGGGATTTGTATAGCTTCAACCCTTTGTCGTAGAAAGTTAATACGAGGTTTAGCGTGTAGAATAAATGCCGCCAATGCACCCACGGTGAAAAAATTAACGGGTTAGATATATTGGTTTTTGTTTTATAGCGGTTTGAATGAAATTGTCCGCAGACTGGCTTCACCACCCTAGGCCTGGTGAGTTGTCCGTGTAGTCGAATTGTCCATCAGCCCTAAACGGCTATGACAGTCACTGTACCAAAAATTGTACCCCGATTCGGCTGGTGTTAAGTTGACGCATGTTATTTAGTAACGTTATTATCTGAAATGTTTGACTGTGGTTCGGTACCTGATCCGATAATACGGTACATAATTGACTCATATCACGAGATATTTCAACTGATGTTTCAATTGTCACAGGACCTAAAATATCTATGACAGTCCCTGTACCGTCACGGTACCCCGATACAGGTACTGGTAAGTCACCGCCGGTATGTTAGTCGTTGGTCACCGCATATGATTTTTGGGGAATTGTTCTGCGTGTCCATATATTTGAGCATTGCTCTCTTGTTATATCTTATCGTCATATACTTTTTTCATTTTTTCAACGATTAGATCACAAACGGCTCTATGTAAAATAATAATCAAGCAACATCATATTAGTGACTTTACGTAAACGGTATAAACCTTGCTCGCTCGGAGCTGATCAACAATAATAATGCAGTACGTTATTGGACACGTTTAGTGGCCATAACGATCGTTTCAAAATTTTGTTGTTATTGTTATTTGTCTCCGTCTCCATTTTTAAAAAATCGCTTTTCTCTTCGAATACTGGACCAATTGCTTTGATATTTTCAGTGGTTAAAGATAAAATATTTCTCCAGAAGGCTATTACTTTTTTTTTCGCTATGACGCCATCAAAATTATTGCCACTGGGTGGCGCTACGTGTCCATATATTTGAGCATAGCTCTCTTGTTTTGAATCAAATTATTGTCTTGATCACAATTTTCAGAAAAGGTATTTCCCAATCGGAAAACAAGTACTATGAATTAATTTTTAAACAGTAATATTGCTCTGTCGCATTTGATTCAATAACAACTGAAATACGTTAACAGGGTTTCATTACATTTGACCCCGTGTACATCTGAACCCATGGCAATTGCACGTGCATACTATTGCAAATTTTTTTGTTTTACGGATATTTGAACCCATACTAACCCTAACCCATGGGTTTTAGCACCCGCATATAGATTGAACCCGCGGATGTACATGGTTCAAATGTACGGTCACCCGTTATTAGAGTTATATATAACTCGACTGAGCACTCCACTTCTTATCGCATGCCTCTTAGAAAATCTCCATCGACTAAGCATACATTTTCTTTTACGTAAAAGTTGCGGATTCATCATCTAGCTAAAGAATTCATCAGCTTTGTGGTATCCGATGCATACGACGCTAGCTTGAGATCAGTTGTGAGGGCGATCGACGGTTATCCAAAAATGGCAAGACCAACTTGTCTATTATGATCGTCTTTATACTAGTATTACATTCAAAAAATTCGGTACAAATCCATGTATAATCGACATTATGACGATCTCGGTCAAAGGAAAAATGTTGCTCATAATTTTTATACCTAATAAAAAGCTGTGTTTTACTTTCATTTATAAATATACTTTTTGGATGTATAATGCCCTATATATATATAAAGTTTTCTAAAATAAGCTAAGAATGAATGTAAATAGATTTTGTTTTTTATTCGCAGAAAAATGTATTTTAACACGCCAAAACCAATATATATGATAAAACCTTGTTTTAGATGCTTTTCAATCTCCAGTAGATCTACATTCTACAGCAATGAAAAAGACTACTGAGAAAAGCTACATTTGTTCAGGAATATTTTCACCAAATTAAGTATACAATCTTGCCAAGCTGCTCATGTTCGAAACAACATAATTGGCAATGTAGTACCGAAATTGTTATTATGCAGCGAAATATCTGTTTCATGAAACCGTATGATCGCGAAGATAGTACCTGAAAATATCGGACAGATATGTATATATCAGGAGGATATTACTGATCTCTGGTTTGCCGGGCTCTTTGACTTTTATGGTAAATTTATATGTAAAAAATTAAACAACGACCGACACGTTATACAGCACAGCTATGACGCAGTAACGATGAGTAGAAAGACCAGGATGGACTGACCGATCACAACGACGTCAGTTTAATTGTGATAACCTATCGCGCCCATATATACACAAAGGCAAGTCTTTATGAACAAAAATCGCTAAGGGGCATGTGAAGTCTTTATATAAACTCGGTACACTTAGATTTTGTTAATCAATTTCGTCGTATTATTCAACATGATTTTAGATAGCTTTGAACCGGAAACGATTATATTACACATATGGAGGCCCATTTTGTGGGGTTTTAAAATGAATCAGAAGCATCTAGTCATTCTAGTGCATAAAAAGGGCAGGTAGTAAACCTGAAATTATGAATAGGAAATCCGTTGCCTCATGACTCGGTATATACACATAGTTCAATGGAAAAGACAGGCTGATGAGCAATGCTGTAAAATGTTCATCTTTTATGGTATAGTCACTAGTGTAATATGTGATTTTAGCAGCTGGGCCAGACATGCATTTATGTATCAGAATATGAAATAGGCAAAAACGTTCATAAAATTTCCGATGTAAATGTCCGTCATGTAACTAAACGCTATTCAGACAAAGCCCAGTATGGATCGCAGATTATTTAGCGGTTGAGTCAACGCACGATTTGACGTACCCGCATTTGAAGAGGATTTTGTTGGTTTAATACGCTGAGTCTTGCTTGTTGAAAATTAGGTCGTCGTCTATTGTATCATTTGCTTCTCCTGCATGATAACCTATGGTATCGAAACATTCTTGTCGAGCGTTTGTATTACAAACGCATAGAAGCCTTCAACGTAAGTCAATTTTTAAAACTACTTAGTCTACCTTAACTAGAAACATTCGTGGATAGGGCAGACTGAAAGAATGCCGGGTCGTGAGACAGAACCTCTTGTTACACTGCCATTACAAGGCGACTACAATGACGAATACACAACGCCCGTGTCAGAATCTGATATGGAAGCAACCACTCCAGCAAAGTTAATTTCAAGAAAAGAACCTCAAAGCAACATATCATTATGGGATGACACTGACGTTAGACAAAAGCTGCTTCTTATGGATTTGATGCTAATGGATTTTCTAACGTTATTTTCAAGTAGCATACCGAGTCCATTTTTTTCGCGAATAGTAATCAAAAGAGGGGGCTCGATATTGTATTCTGCTCTCATACTCCAAAGTCTGATGTTGTCCTTTTCAATTTGTTGTGTAATTATCGGTAAATACCTCCCTTCTATGGGAATCAAGAAAATGTTTGTCGGCGGATTGGCAACATTTGGCTTGTGCCAAGTTATATTCGGATTATTGCATTTTGTTATGGATATCAAAGCATTTACAGGATTAGGAATATTGATACGTGTCTTGCAAGGAGCTGGGGAAGCTGCATTTGCAATATCTTCAATGAGTGTAATATGTGAGGAATACCCAGCCCACATTACCAAAGTTTTTGGATTTACGGAAGCTATGGTTGGGGTAGGTTACCTCATGGGACCAATTTTTGGAGGTGGGATGTTTGACACTTTAGGCATGCTACTGCCTTTGGTACTTTCGGGAGGTATAGTCATATTATCTATACCATGTCATTTCTTTTTGTTACGGCCATATACACACGAGGAAACTGCAGAAAGTGGGGAGTTCAATGTATTGGATTGGTTATCTAATCCTTACATAATTTCTGTTTTGTGTTCAGTGGCCACCGTGTTCGGAACATTTGGATACATTGATGTTGCAATTACTACTTACTTGGAAAAACTTGGATTTACTGTCACAACCGTAGGATTGGTTTTGTTCACCGTCGGACTAAGTTATTGCATTGCAGCAGCTTTGATAGGATATATTGTTAGTTTCAAAGTATGGGTGAGAAAAGTATCTATGACTGTTGGATTCATCGGATTTTCTTTAGTCCTGATGGTGTATGTTCCAAAGCAATTGACGTTCTTAATTTATGTTGGGTCGTCCGCACTGGGTATATTTGGCGCCCTAGGCACGGTACCTGCCTTTGAAGATTTGTTGCCAAGTGATAGCGACCCTAGCTTAGAAATACATAGTGCAATTTCGGGTGCTTGGTATGGTTGCATCGGACTCGGCATGTTCGTTCTGCCACTAATAGGCTCTGCAATTCACAAAGTTTTGCATTCATTTTCGTGGGCTCTGTTTGTATTATCTTGTATTGGATTTGCAATTACTCTGATTTTAGCTGGATTGGTATACTTCATAAAAAGAGTCAAAAGTTCGTCACATTTAAACGATTTGGTTGATTAAAAGACAGCGAAATGAACTTGCTCAACAGCTATAATACGAACTCTGCCAATCCACTGTCACTGCCAATCATCAGAGATCCGGTATCAATTCAACACAAAAAATTAACTCTGAAGACAGCTTTTAGAGCTTACTTGTCCTAATATAGATACTAGTGTGCAACATATGGTAGCAAAAATATACTCAGCAAATGTAGTGTCGCTCCAAACTTTTTATTTTCAATTATTTGATTTATAATTGTGAAGTTATGAACTATATTTGCTAGTTATTAAGTGCGTCAATGTGTTTCATCACGTGCCTAATATTTTGGTCTATACCAGGAGCATGCATGTATTTTAAAATTTGACAAATGTCAAAATATTAGACCAAGCATGACTTAGTCCGCTATATCAGGGAAGCCTATCATTATATTTGGTATAAAATGCTACAAAAAATAAATCGCATTGTCAACCAGGCAAAAAATAGTTGCAAATGAATAAAGAAATGTGGTATTAAATCTGGTTCATAATACAGGAGTTCACGGATTTTACAGTATTCACTTGTAACTGCAAATATATACTATAAAATAAAAAACGTACTATATTAAATATAATACAGAATAGAGAGATGTAATTTTTATTGTCAAGCTCCTATAGGGCGATCCTGAAAATAAGATGTCGACTCCCATTTTCTTGCAATTCCGATCATTCTGGCATTCGCCGTTTCTCTAGCCCACGTGCCTCCATATCTAAATGCCTGTCCTGAAAATGATTGTCAAGTTGGATTTTTATAAGAATGAGCCCTCGCTCCAAAGTTAAATACACTTAAGCATCTCTCAACCAAATCGAATAGAAGTTTTTGCAAATTTTATTGGACCGAATACCCGATTTGTTACTGATAGAATTTATTTAATAAGATGTTTACAATATAAACAAAACTTACCAGGAACATATCCCGAATAGTTTGGCATCAGACCGGCTTTTGTGTGATAAATATGTTGTGCCGGTAATCGAAATTTGAATGCACTTTGCCGATATCTATCAAAATCTTCATTGTCATACCAAACACCCTGCGTCCTGTCCGGAGTAAACCAACGGCACATATCTCTGCACCATGGCGTATTTTGCTTGAAGTTTGTAGTTATTAACTGAAAATACACAAAATTATCAAATCACTTACAGAACACCAAAAAGACTCATGTAAACATTCTAAATGTTCAGCGGAAGTAAAAAGCGAAAAACATCGACAAGACCGAGATGGATGAGCTCGTCTGGGGAGGGGTAGTAATTGTATCGAAAAAATACTGCATATGAAATATCTGCCTACTAGTTATAATTTTTCCAAATGATTTGTAACTTTTCAGTGGCTCAATTGAGACAATTTGATAATAGGATAAACGGTGAAAGCAAGGTTAATTTTTTTCAGCATAAAATCGAATTTGTCATTGCAAAGTAGGTTAAAGTTCACATGCGGGAGACTCCGCGAAATATTGCTTTTTGTGTGGTTTTGATAGAAGCACAAGTTCCTTTGTCGTTACAACGACGATGACCACGTACGTGCCTTAATTAACTGCACCTATCTCAGCCTCACAGCGTTCAAACCCAAATTAAAATCGACGGTTCATAAAAATCAACAGAACGCAAATGTAATGGGACAATTTATATTGAAACTGTCCAGTCATGATGATATGACATAAAGTCACCACACTTATCTAGACTATATTTTGCGCAGTCACATGGTCACTCAGAGATGCCAAAAAAGGGCCAAGTTTCAGTGGAATTATTGATACAATGAACAATTTATCAATAGCTATTAGTAACAAAGTATGCATCTAATCCATGCATTGCTCTCGATGTCTACGGCACTGCCGGCCCCTGTGAAACGCATGTGTTACTGCGCGTTGGCATGCGTTCTGGGGGAAATTCTTTCGTTCACATGGTAAAGGTATACTACAAATATTTTTATTTCAAAGACAAACTAACCCTGTGTTTGTGATCCACTCGTGGAGGATATTTGTACGTTGGTGGAGCAGTATGAGCACGTTGCTGTTGTTTCGATGATGTCACCAATCCGATGTCCGCTGCTGACTGGACGCGTTGACTGATGTTAGGAAGTCTACGACTGAATGACTCTTGTGGCTTGAAATCATGATCGGAACTATGAAAAAGGAAAAGCATTGTATTAAAAGAGTCAAGCCGCGCCTTTAAAGTACAAAAAGATAAGTACATTGACTAATCTATTCCATACGCAGAAATAACGTGTTATTAGACTGAAACCAAAACAATTTAAAAAACGAGCTTAGAGTCGACTTAAGTTACCGATTGCAATTTACTTGACTATAAATATTTCAGCTTGATTCTTTGAAATCTGTGTAGCCTACTCGGTTTAGACCTGGCGGAATTTTATTTGGCGCGTCACAACCATGATTGAAGAAACACTTGATTTGAAATTAACGGTCGAGGTTTGGCCTCATCCCAGGTCTTGCGGAGGGTCGAGTCCTGCACTGTGAAGTCACGAGTCAAGTTACTACACGGCTTTGAGTCACAAATCAACCAATTTCATAGGCAACTGTGAAGTTTATAAGTCGAATTTGCAATGGCTTGAATCGTTATTTTGATATTGAAAACCAGAATGAGATTCATACTTGTGTCAAAGCGAATCGTGTTAACGACGAAGAAATGTATCGAATGAAGGGGTTACAGTCCATAAAATTTTGCAACTGTAAATATATACTACAACCATTAAAATATCGAGAAACGCAAATACATGGTTACGACAAACGTGAGAGCGATGCTCAAATATATGGACGCGGTGGCCAAATGAAGTAGTACTGGTATGCAATCTGTCACGGTAGACTACCGGTACCGTACCGCAGTCTTCACACTTCGCCTGGCCACAAGATCGCGAACGCTGATCCGCCACAAGGTGCACGATTTTTGACTTTGATGACGTCATCGCTCACTAAAACAACGAATCCCTTAAAGCCCACAGAAAATTTTAAAATAAATAAGGTAATAGCCTTCTAGAAGGAAATACAATCTTTGACCACTGAAAATCCCAGAGCAATTGACTCTGTAGTTAATGTGAAAAGCGATTTTTTGAACGTTATTACAATAAGAAAAATGTCACTGCCAACAGATTCCGTTGCTTTCCTAAAGTTGGAACAAAACATTGATATTTCAAACATGTTCACTTAGCTTATTGCCACACGACATCAGTTGTTTTAAACGAGGTTTGCAGCATTTGTCCATGTTGTTTCATGTTTAAGAGAAACACGTATCTTGTACAAATCACATATCTATGTTTTTATGTCCTTCATATAACTCGACAAGCATTGTTGGACAACAATAGATGATTGGTTATTCGATATTTTATTGTTGGTTAATTGAACATATCAAAACATGTGGTAATAAACAATAGAAACGCGATATAACGGGCGTAACAATAACATAACGTAAATCTTTCGTTTTTCTGGTAAATTTGAACGCTTCACACATAAACGGATGTAAACCTGAGGTGACCGTACATTTGAACCCACATACATTTGAACCCATACATTTGCACCAGCATATCCGCGGGTCCAATCTATATGAGGGTGCTAAAGTTCATGAGTTAGGGTTAGTATGGGTTCAAATATCCGTAAAAAAATTTTGCATAGGTGCAATAGTATGCAGGTGCAATTGTCGTGGGTTCAAATTACGAATTCAAATGTTATGGAATCTAAACCTGAGCACGACAGATGAAAAGTATGGCATAAACGTCTGTTTGTCTTTATTGTGTATGTTGATGGGGCGCTGGTGGCAAATGGGCATAATACTACTTTTTATCAAGTATGACACTGCATAATAAATATATTTTTACACGCCACTAAAATTTTGAACAGTGTGTACATCCGCCTCGTTATATACATCAACTGTAAATTAGTCTAGATTAATTGAAAGTCCATGAAACCATTGTACCAACTCACCATGTTTGTCGAGGATTAACGTGAGAGGCTTCAAGCATTTAAAATTGCCTATCGAGTGTTCAGGAGTATTTACAGAACACAAGAACCGTTTAAATATCCAATTTAGTCAAAGTGTGCCTACGCTTTCCAGCAATGTTTATAGAAACATTAGACCATTTTGCGATACAATATATGCAATCGATCAAGTCTGGCACTGAAACGAATCGTATTTTATTTTAATATGGCAGGGCTATTGTGATGAAAACAGAATAATTACGAACGTACCGTTACACCCGGCTATACCACAGTATGACTAACTTTACGTACCTGTTTAAAATTATTAACTTATAGGATTCACTATGACGAAAAACAAAATATCACATTCAATTCCGACATATTTCGGAATTAACCATTTTTGTGGGGTGTTATCTATCCAACCAATTCAACGGTATTCAACGAAATTTCATGAATCAACGTGGGCCAATCGAATTTGTTACATCATAGATGGGGCGGTAAGCAGAGAATAACTGTAATCAAATAATAAGTAATCAACTGAAAACAAGGTCCATTCAACTATTTCTAGAATAGCCTTTTCAATTTACATGATAGAAACAGTTGTTACTTACTTTGAGCCCCTTTTTTTGTAAACAGGACTGACCGTTACGTAAATACTCTGAGACGAATATGGATGTCCGGGAGTAGCATAATTCGGCATGTCTTTATTTAATTAGTATGTAGATCACCAAACAAATTTTATGCTACAATGCAAATGCAATGTTATGCTACAATGTCAAGTATACATAACACTATGATTATATGAATACTCTACTCTATGGAATACACATTTAATGAAAACAATTATCAGTTGACAGCAGAAGGATAACCGTAGATTTGCTCAGTTATTTTTGATAGAAACGAGTCGTTTATGAAACCATCAATTTTATCTAAGAAGGGTCTCAATTCACTCAAAAATTTGAAAAATCCAAAAATAAACACTTTCTTGTGATATTTCATGAACTTTACCATATATCATGCGTTATTTACCAATTCAATATTTGTTATATTCGACGCTGCACCTGCCAGTCTTACGCTTAAACACATCTTATCATACAAGAATGTATACGTTGAATCTCACGGACTTAGTTAAAAAACAGTTTATTTTACATACATATATAATGTGAAAATCTGGTATCCCATTCTAGCTAGCTATACATAAACTCGAAGTCTCGAAACAAACATTCTGGTTTGAATGAAACCTATAAACCGGTCCTCGACACCGACATTAATCGAAGTAAAAGCGGAGACAGATGTACCTAGGCTATCAATTTTCAAGGTGAGCCCTCTGATGAAAGTACAACAGAGCAACTGAAATGAATACATTGTTATTACAAACAACGGCACACGATTGAAACAAGTGAATATCTTTCGGTAATTTAAGCCATAGGACATGTGTTATGTATATGAAAACATCGAATATTCCATATACTCAAAACATACAGTTCGTATTTTAGGTTACCTATGGGCGGAACTTCGAAAAGTTATAGAGTAGGTGAAATTTCTGGCGTTTCAAAAGCCTCTGGGTTGACTTACCACCTAAAAAGCCCGCGCATGACCGGATATAAATGATCGTTTCCCTTTCATAAATCAGGTATCTTTTCATTCGGGTTGAAAATCTAATAAAATCCGTTAGGAACGTCTACCCGATATTGCCCAGACACTATCGCAAATATGCTTAAACCAAATACTTGAAAAAGTCGGCAAATTACAGAAGAATCATCTAACGCCTTATATGAGGAATCTCTGTACTTAATGTGATATTTTGGACAGCAAACGTGATCCTGCCTTTGTTTTTAAAATTAACCTAATAATCAAATATGCTATTTCTGAATATTGAATTTCTATGTCAAGCTTTTTGTAGAGCTATCTTTCTAGAATTTTGCTATTACATTATACTTCAGTAGTCTGTTTGTTCTATTCTGACACAATAATGTTCTTGGAGTACTTTATTTAGATTTATTCTTGTATTTAAAAAGGATGTCACATTTCCTCGTATTACGATTGTGACCAACATTTGCTGCCACTTTTCCATTAAAATCTATTACCTGGCTAATTACCTACTTTCGTGATATGTATTTCTAAAATTATTTGAAAACTCCAGCACTATGCTTTACTTGAACGACCTCGCAAGTAAGGCGATAATATAACATTAAGCAGGTGATAGTAAAACCAAGTCAGGCAACAATTCTTTCCGCTATTCAAAATATTCCCTGCTAAGCTATCAGCTCGCAAGCCAGACCTGTGTATTGTTAATCCAGATTTGTCTCAATAGCAGTCGACAATATTTCCGAATGGATTAATTATGCTGAGGTGTTTTGAAATGGACGGTGATGATGTGTAGCCTTTGTTACCCGGTCTGATGACAAATTGGTGCTTCTTGTGTAGAACGATGCGTTTGTTATTTCGGTGTTTTATATTTATATTGAATGACAATGGCTCGATCTCATTTATTATGCCAACTTCGGTTTGACCGCTAAAATAACGATATTCTTGTTCTTACAAGCATTCGCGTATTGCAAAGTGGCACCTTTCAAATTCTCTAATAGTCTGTCTAATTGTCTATAATATTCACGTTTTACTTGCGTTCGTTAAATTCAGGTGTACCTAAGCTTTTCAGGCTGTACGAAATTAAAAATGCCTTTAAAATTCAGCGCTCGTTTATTCATAGATGCTGGTTGAATTAGGCAAAGCTTTTTAGTTTCAAAAACATCACATATATGCACATTACATTAAGCTGCCCGACAGTAAGTATACAGCAACTCTATCAATTCCACAAACTCGCCTACTTTAACTCATTTCATTAACGAAAATCAGCATCAAGTGTAACATCCCATTATTACGAATTTTTGATAAGGTCACAAGCGATCATCTTCGAGTTATGGTACGTGGACCAGCAAAGTGCAAGTTGGTTTTTAAAATAACATCCCTGATGATGTAACAAAGTGACTTTATATCTTCTCAACGTTTGGCGGTTTTCTAAAAGTTTCTTTGTCGTGTGGAAGGCGATTGCAGCAATTTTAGGATAAAGAGCTAGCTAGACTATTATGAATCAACGGTTCCCAAAGTGGGCGCGCTAGTGCGACCCGAAAATTAACAGAATTGTGTTAAACATGACTAATATGTGATTGAATATTTTGCATATCGTCTTTATTATAAATGTTTTACTGTTTCTTATTTTAAATTACGTGTACATGAATCAATAAATTTATTTTACCTTTCTGTGACGTAGGGTCTGCCTCAATTGTTACGTAATTTTTACGTAACAATAGATGTGATATATAAGAAGAATTGTGAGAATATCGTGGACGGAAAAACGTCAAACGCAGAAGTAATGGAAAAGGCCGGGTACAAAAGATCCCTAATTAAAACCATCAGAAAAAGGCAACTACAGTTTTTTGGGCACATAAACAGAGCAGATGGGATAGAAAAGAAAATACTGTGTGAAAAGATTTGCGGAACCAAAAGTAGAGGAAGACAACGCTCAAAATACACCGACAGACCGAATAACTACGCAGCGAAGAAAGAATCCTCCAACAATGAACTCATCAGGAGAACTAACAACAGATTGGAATGGAAAGCCATGATCGCCGATGTCTATAACAGACCTGGTACATGAGGAAGAAGATGTAAACACTACTATTTATCTGCTCAGCCGAGTTCAGCGAACATGAGTGATTTTTTCAGTATTTTAAAGGAAAATCAGGCAGGGTTGGGTAAAGAGAGTTGACCTTTTGTCTTTATTTGTTGGCATACATGTTTGCAATCTTTAAATAGCATAAAATACACATTAACGATCACAAAATTGAGTTTCATTTATAAAGGCAGCAATTTTTTTCGTGAACGTGCGCCGTGACTTTTTTCTGATAATTTTGTGGCTGCGCAAACAAAAAGTTTGGAGACCGCTGATGTAATTGACGTACAAATATAATACTCTTACTGTATCTTGAACTAGACTTCAGTGATCTTAACTATTCATCAGACAAGTATGAGACTCGGGATTATTCTGTAGTTGATAAATATATTGAAGATTTACATTTGAGGGCAAAACAAGAGAACATGGCAACGGTAACACCTTTCAATTCATAGTTATAATCGAGTCCGCACGTGCCAATTCCACAATGTATACATTACAAATAGGCATTTCATGCTGCTTTGATGCTTCTTTGGATCAGGATGCATTTTCAGATAATCCATGTCGTGAAACAATTGTATAATATAATAATTACTACGACATGGGATATCGAATTATCCGTTTTGTACACGTACAATTATTATAAATGTACTTGGCTAATCACTTATATCAGCATAACGTAATATCTTTATGATACGGAAGAAATTCCCCCCATGTTGGTATTTTTTTTTAAATGAACAATTGATTACATTCTAAATGATTTCATATTTGAATACAGTTTCAGTCTAAGTACAATTTGTCTATATATTTCTTTATTTATTACATTTCAAAAAATTCAAGAGCATATCTCCACACTGACACAAGTAATTTCATATCGTTTCCCTTGACTGAGCAAGTCTAATATATTTTAAAATTCTTTTCCGGCACACCCAATCTTACGCACTTGATTGCTCATTTTAGATAAATTTCTACTTGAATTCTCCAACGATTAAAGTATTTAGGAGTGATTTCATCTTAATTGTTTCTGAATAACGGATCCCTCTATTTGTAAATACATGATGGATTACGATATTCACCATGCATTCTATACCCATTTTCACTTGTGTTTTCAAACGAATCACCATAGCCAAAAATCTTCTATCCTGTAATGACATGGAGTTAGGTCGACTTTTCTAATCACAAAACTGAAATTCACAATGTATAAATGTATTCAAGTAGAATAGGAAAAGCAGTTATGATAATACAAAAATGGATAAAAACAAAATGCGAAGTAAAATAACAATTGTGACAGATTTTAATTAAGATTCGAGTTGTCAACATAAAAATAAATAAATCAGTTTGTTCAAAACAATATGGAACTCCAAGAAAATAGCAAACAATCATATTCCAGATATTCATTCATCTGACCCATTCAGTCCACATCAACCGTGTTGTTAAATCTGTAAAAATTGTTATACATTATTAAATAAAATTAACTTACCATTTTTTCAGACTAAATTTTTATCGGCATTTAAAAATAACACTAAGTTGGATCCTCGTAATTAATAATTTCACCAAGGTCATGATTGTACTTACCACTGATATTCCATTTTCTTGATTTATACTCTGCATTTCCGTTGATACATTCCTTCACAAACTGATTTGGATGTTTTTCTGATTCTAACATATCTCGTAGAAATGCTATGTATGCAATAGCAAGATGTAATGTGTCTATCTGTAAAGAAGCTTGATTATATTGAAAAACTTTTAAAAGATATTAGATAATTTGTAAAACATTACGACTGCACTTATTTTTTCAAATATTCTTTCTGAAAATAATTTTTTATGAACTTAGGAGGCTAAAAGGGAAACCTTTTATGATGAGAGTAAAACATTCACTAAAATTTGTGATCATCTTGTCAACTTTTTCTGTGAACAAATGTATTCAGAAAGTAAAGTCTAGTAAGTTTGTTACACAAACTTTTTTCCTAATACTGTTATTTCAAACGTTTGTTAATAAATAATATTGATTACCTTTGAAAGTCTTTTTTCATATGGGAATGTTGGAACACGAGACCTCAATTCTTCAAATCCTTCGTTGATATTGAACATTCTTTTTCGTTCTCGATTGTTTGCCGATTTTCGTTCTCCATTTAAACTGAGCAATGTTCAATTTGATTAATTTTAAATGCTCACTTCTAACTAAATTTATCTATATGGTAAACTCCATAATATATTCTCTCGTAAACATTATGATCCAATTTATAAAGCATTTTTTAACCTCACACGACATTACTCGAAATATATAGTAATAATATTTATCGTGTTATATGAGGAAATCTTACGTCACGGGAGAAGTTCTCTTTTCCTTTCTTCGTATTTGTCTTGAACTAATCCTTTGTTCCTTAAGTTTGAAATTGTCAACTTGTTGTTCTTTTACGTGGTGTTGATGGAGTTGATTATTTTTAGTCATTTGAAAGGGAGTGGCAACGTATGGATATACAGGTAATACAGGAAAGGTTTGAATTCTTTCAGTTGTAACAGGAACAACATCGGCGTGGGGATAATACATCTGTCCGCTCATTTCTATAACTTGTTCATTTAATGTTTTATCAAGAGTTTGAAGATATGTTTCATCTGATATTGATGACAAGAATTCTTCACCAAGTTGGCAAATGATTTCCCCATTTGCATCTGCTTCTATAAATGTAAATTTTAATTTTAGACAATGAATGTGTTGAAAATATAGAAAAAATGATAAAGAAACAACGACAAGTCCCAATTATTTTATCCTGGAAACCTACCTTGGGAAGTTTCTATTCTTTTGTCGTCTTCCTTGTCGTCAACTGTATAATTGCCATTTGTGGGCAACTCCAACTGTAAAGAAATAACAGAAATATGCATAAACGAGGTTTGTTTCCCGTTCTATTTTCTCATAAATTCAATCTAATTCTTTTCCAAAAAGATCTGTAAGTTAACAAGTTACATACCTGGAATGAATCATTACTGCTACCGAGAAACTGTTTATTCGATGATTGCAGAACAGTGAATTGTGAAGACTGTGAATCTTTGATGTAATCATTCTCCACAAGTATTGCTTTTGGTCCACATCCATCGACAAATACATCATCATTGTATATGGAAGATATTGCTTCAGATTCTTGCTCTTGAGTAACTGATATTACTTCTGTGGAGTCAGATAAATATTCGGTTTTGTCATTCGATTGAGAAAGCAACACGGGAATCTGTTGATCATCTTCTCCAATGAAAATATTCTCAGGTGAATGTGAAGTTTGCAAACATGCAAATCCGAGTATTTTTGAATCTAGAATATTTTCTGAATTCATTATTAAATGTAATCCACAATTGAATGAATAGATAACTGATGTCTTATTTCCAGTAACACCCCTTATATATTGCAAACACACGACAATCCCAGATGACATTAAATATCATCTGTTTCATGCATGTCGGGATAGTCGGGGAAATCTGTATTTGTTCCATGGATTAGTGTGTATCTGACAGTTTAGCACGTGTAATTGTTGTTGTGTAGTCAGTGTCCACGCGTACGCACGGCGTGACACCAAAATTGATACCTCGATTCATTTATAATACTATGCATACATTCGAATCATTATAAATGTTGAATATTATAATCTTGCATTAGTAAATTTTACAATCAGATATATAGTCTCAACAATGTACGCGACTACAATCTTCTTAGTAAAAAGGAGTTTTAAAACTTTCCATGTCTCAATGTAAAGATATGAATGGTATTAATCATCACAATGTGCAGAAATTTTAGCGCTTCAATTAAAGTTAATTTTATTACTTGAAATTTGTTCCAGCACAAACATGGGTTAAATGACCCCGTAACGACATATTTGATAAACAGCATTAAAATAAAAACATCTTGATTTAACAGAAAATAATACAAGTCAAAAACGACATTAATTTTGCCCATAGGTAAATATTCAGATCCGGAAAGGCAGATAGAATCGATTTTTAACAGGACAATATCTATATTTTGCGTATCATAATTTGTCCAGGTATAATTTGACACCAATACTTCTTTGTTTGATTTCCTGCTTTAAGTTGTTTGTTTGAAAATGTGATTTTTGTTATAATTGTTCATATTTTACATAAGAATTTGACAAATCATAACGTGGCATCATAAGAAAGGCATGTAACAAAGCAGCGAAGTTATTGACGTGGTATATTCGGTTTGCACTTATTTTATAATACTTATTTTTCTATACAGCAGCTGTTCTACTCGGAATAATGTTATTTAGTCTAATCTTATTTTACATACTGGATATAAGAATATATATTAACAAGGAACACGATTGTTAGAAATATTTTTTTGCTTCAAATGAGTATTTGTAAAGGTATTGCAAAAATATGAAGTGGATGAAAGGCCATTACTTTCTCACTATTTTCTCATCATCTTCAGGTTAACAAGATGTTTTTGTATAATGTTTGTTTTATGTAAAAAGTGAAGAACAACGACAACTAAATAGGGAAACACAATAAGCAAATATTTATTTTACGTTTCCTGGAAGTCACAATAAATTAAGCATCTCATTATAGGGGAACAAATAGAGCAGTTTTTGAATTTTGGAATAATATCTGAATCCAGGACTATACGTGGTTTACAATTAAATGTGAATGATTACACCTATCCGTTGATATGCTACAAAACATACAGACGAAGATATCAAATATCATAAAATAAGATCCGTACCATGCATGCAGGGATAGTTGGGGAAATTTGTTCTGTGGATTAGTACATACATGACAGTTTAGCACGTGCGATGATGGTTGTGTCGGTAACATTGATAATCTGTACTCTAGCTGCATGACACCAGGATTGATAGTTTTGATAGCTTCAATAATTTGTTATAATCATCTAATACTTAACTTTTGTTGGAATGATTTTTCAAATTAAATCATTGTTTGATGAAATATTCCAGAAACAAGTACCAAATATAAAACTAAGTAAGTTTCAATTTTTGCGTTTCAGGTAAAACTTCATTGGGTTTAGTGTATTTTTCCTCCTCAATATATTCGACAGACAAGGTGATAAGTTTTCACTTCAAAATTTACTTATAGTTGACTGTAACTCGTAACCCATTGTAGCTCTGTTTGTGCATTGCAGGAATTAACAGAACTGGAAATCGTAACGGTTTAGTCATACTGACTATAAAAACATTTCTTTATTTATAAAAACGAAAATCAAATAAAGAAATATTGATGTTACGTTTCCTGACTTTTACAACACATTATATTTGTTTACTTAGTACATATGTTTTATCGATTTTATTCTTCATTTCCGCATACTGTACTTTATTTGAATCAAATTTTGATTTTTTCGTTATTTTTGCTTTAATATTCAAATTACGGTTATAACAATGATGTTATGGCTGATATATACCACATTTTGACATCTTCAAAGATAATGAGGTCAAGGGTGACCTAAAAACACTATACTCGTGTTATTCTTGAGAAAACATACCTTCTGTGCAAAGTGTCCCAGATTACTGAAACTTTTGGTTTCAATCAATCATACGCAAACAAAAATTTGCGTCTAATGAAGTTTTTTTTTCATTTTTGTCAAAATATAATAATATATAATGGTTTTGTTTTTGGGAGATCAACCTGAAAAGGTATAACTTTATTGAATGAATTTTCTTTCGAGTACTGAAGCACTCTTACACAATCAATCGGTTCCCAATGTGTCTTACTTTATTCACAATTTCTACCTGACATTGCTGGCCAAATGCTTATTTGTAAATCTACAAATTATGCAGGGGATTTTAGATAGATATAGCAGCGGTTTAGCTTTCCATCGCCGGATTAAAGAAATATATATATATTTGTTCACCACCCTTTTTGTCGCTGTTTAATCATAAAACACTAATTCGGGGTAAAGGATTTTGCACTTGCCATATTTTGATACCAGGCACTCACTCTATACCACTTACACTCAAAGATCTCAAGCTAATTTGATTCATATTAATTGTACTCAAGATAATACACGAGGTACTTATTATAATGTAACAAAGTGACTTTATATGTCCACGATCTTTGGTGGCCTCCACGAATTTTCTTTGTCCCACGGAACACGATTGCAGCAATTTCGGGACAGAGAGCTAAACTATTAAATATACGATTGATGTTTTGTATCATATTCTGACTATTAATATGTCTAACTCCACAAAATGATTTACCAAGCGGAGCTGTTGAGGTCTTATTTGTCCAAAACATGCAAATTATCAGCAATACTAAACTAGACGCCAGGCATCTATGAGACGTGGGAGACGTGGGATTGTCCTGTGTTGGTGCATATATTGAAGATTTATATCCGATGGCCCAAATAACAGAACAGTGCATCCTGTAATTCGGAATCGCAGTTGGAAAACACACCTTGTGCGTGCCGATTCCACAATAGATACATTCTGAATAGCGTTTCATGCTGCTTTGATACTTCTTTGGATCAGGATACTTTTTCAGCTAATCCATGTTGTGAACAGTTGCTTAATCTAACTACGGCATGGGATGTCTAATTATCCGTTTTGTACACGTGCAATATAAATGTATAAGGCTAATCACTTATATCAGCATGATGTTATATCTTTATGATATAGAAAAATCTGCCCCCATGTTGATATTTTTAAAAAGAAACAATTGATTACATTGATAATGATTCAATATCTCAATACATTTTCAGTCTAAGTACAAATATTAAATAAAAAATAACGAACAAAATCGAAACGAAAAAATTTCATTCAAAAGAAATACTGTATGCGGAAATAAAGAATGAAATCGATTTTGACGAGATAAAACACAGAAATAATTTATTGTAAAAGTCGTAACATCAATATCTCTTTATTTGATTTCCGTCTTTATAAACAAAGAAATATTTATAGTAAGTGTGACTGAACCTTTACGATTTCCAGTTTTATTAAGTCCTGCAATGCACAAACAGAATTACATTGTTATGAGTTACAACCAACTTCATGTCAATCTTAAAGTGGAAAAGTATCCCCTTGTTTGTCGAATATATTGAGAAGAAAAATTCACTAAACCCAATATAGTTTTCCTGAAATTTAAAATTGTTTTAACAAAAGCTAAGTATTAGATAATTATAACAAATTATTGAAGGTATCAATCTTGGTGTCATGCAGCTAGAGCACAAGTGTGCAATGTTACCGACACGACCATAATCGCACGTGGTGAACTGTCATATATACACTAATCCATAGAAAAATACAGATTTCCCCAACTATCCCTGAATGCAAGGAACTAATAATACTTTATGGTATTTGATATTTTCGTCTGTATGTTTTATAATGTGCAATCATTCATTTAATTGTAGATCACGTATAGTGATGAATTCGGATTTATTTGTTGTGACTTCGAGTAATATCAATATTTGCATGTTATGTTTCATTATTTAGGTGTCGTTATTCTTCATATTTTACATAAAACAAACTTTAAACAAAAATATCTTGTTGGCCCAATGACGGTAATAAAAATATTGAGGAAGTAATGGCCTTTCATCCTCTTCACATTTTTTTGCAATATCTTTACAAATTCTCATTTGAGGCAAAAAAACAACTCTAACAATCATGTTTCATTTGGATATATATATACTTATAACAAGTAACATAAATAATAAGATTAAGAAAAATAATATTATTCAGAGCGCAACCATGCAAGCTGCTGGTTTGTTATTGTTAGCTAGATAATACAGTTTTTCAATTTCCTCAATGACATCATATATTATTTTGAATTTTACATTTCATATGTTACAGATAATATTCTAAGTATAGAAGCAGCATATTAAGTATTAAAATATAAATTTAATATACCACGCCGATAACTTCGAAGCTTTTGTAAATGCCTTTCTTATGTTGCCACGTTATGATTTGTCAACTTCCCATGTAAAATATGAACAATAATAACAAAAATCACATTTTCAAACATACAACTTAAAGCAGGAAATCAAACAAAGTAGTATTGATGTCAAATTATACATGTTAAACGTCGATTATATCTGCTTTTCCGGATTTGATTGTTTACCTGCGAGCAAAAGTGATGTCGTCTTTGATTTGTATTATTTTAGTTAAATCAGGATGTTATTATTTTAATGCTGTTTAGTAATGTGGCTTTACAGTGTCATTTGTCTCATGTTTGTGCTGGAACAAATTGTGAGTATTAAAATTAACTTTAATTGAAGCGCTAAAATTCCTGCACATTGTTATGATTATTACCATTCATATCTTTATATTACGACATTTAAACATTATGTCGTTTTTTAATCTAAATAGAAAGTTTTGCTTATTTTCTCCTTATATTTAAGAAGATTGTAGTCGCGTACATTGTGAAGATTATGTATTTGATTGTAAAAATTACTAATGCAAGATTATAATTTTTAACATGTTTTATGCCAACGAGTAATTATGAATTTATAATGATTCAAATGTATGCATAGTATTATAAACGAATCGAGGTATCAATTTTGGTGTCACGCCGTGCTTACGCGTGGACACTGACTACACAACAACAATTACACGTGCTAAACTGTCAGATACACACTAATCCATGGAACAAATACAGATTTCCCTGACTATCCCGACATGCATGAAACGGATGATATTTAATGTCATCTGGGACTGTCGTGTGTTTGCAATATATAAGGGGGTTGTACTGGAAATAAGACATCAGTTACCTATTCATTCGATTGTGGATTACATTTAATAATGAATTCAGAAAATATTTCAGATTCAAAAATACTTGAATTTGCATTTTTGCAAACCTTACATTCACCTGAGAATATTTTCATTGGAGAAGATGATCAACAGATTCCCGTGTTGCTTTCTCAATCGAATGACAAAACCGAATATTTATCTGACTCCACAGAAGTAATATCAGTTACTCAAGAGCAAGAATCTGAAGCAATATCTTTCATATACAATGATGATGTATTTGTCGATGGATTTGGACCAAAAGCAATACTTGTGGAGAATGATTACATCAAAGATTCACAGTCTTCACAATTCACTGTTCTGCAATCATTAAATGAACAACTGCTCTGTAGCAGTAATGAATCATTTCAGGTATGTGATTTATCAACTTATAGATATTTTTGAAAATAAATTAGATAAGATCTGTTAAAAAACAGGAGGAAAACAGTAACATTCTAATGAGTTTGTTTATACATGTTTATGTTATTCCATTATAGCTGGGGTTGCCTACAACTGAAGAATATTTAGTTGATAACAAGGAAGATGATGGAGAATCGAAGCTTCTCACGGTAGGCCTTCATAATGAATAACTGACACTCGTTGTTGTTGGGTTTTAATCTTGTCATGTAAAAAAATATGGTTATTGAAAATACTTTGTCCTTATCATTTTTCCTATATTTAAAAAAAAAATTAACTAAATTTGAAATTTACTTTTCTAGAAGCAGATGCAAATGGGGAAATAATTTGCCAACTTGGTGAAGAATTCTTGTCGTCAATATCAGATGAATCGTATCTTCAGACACTTGATAAAACATTAAATGAACAAGTTAGAGAAATGTGCGGACAGATACATTATCCTCATACCGATCTTGTCCCTGTTACAACTGAACGAATTCAACCTTTTCCTGTATTACCTGCATATCCATACGTTGCTACTCCCTTTCAAATGAGTAAGAATAGTCAACACTATCAACACCGCGTGAAAAAACATCATGTTGACAATTTTAAACCTAAGGAACGAAAGATTAATTCAAGACAAATGCGAAGAAAGGAAAAGAGAACTTCTCCCTTGACGTAAGATTTTCTTATAGACGATAAATATTTTTACTATATGTTTCGAGTAATGTCATGTGAGGTTAAAAAATGCTTTATAAATGAGATCATGATGCTTACGATAGAATACATTATGAAGTTTACCATATAGATACCTCATGTTATAATAACGCAATTGAAATTATTTAAATTGAACATTGCTTAGTTTAAATGGAGAAACACAAGAAAGAAAATCGGCAAACAATCGAGAACGAAAAAGAATGTTCAATATCAACGAAGGATTTGATGAATTGAGGTCTCGTGTTCCAACATTCCCATATGAGAAAAGACTATCGAAGGTAACAATTAATATTAATAAATCATTTTAATAACATAGTAAACAAATTTTTCTTGTAATTGATTTACTAAATTTCATTTTCTGAATCATTCGTTCACAGAAACAAATTGCATTTTGCAAGTTTGCATATCTATCATTGCATGGATATTTAGTAAATATTACCTTTCATTCATAGAGCTTTCTTTATACTCTCATAGCGATTTTCGCTGTTCTAAAATATTTCCAGAAAGGGTAGCAAAAAAAGGTCCGGTAGTAATATTATGAAAATGTAGTTTATGGAAATCTTTTTCCAGATTGACTCATTGCGTCTTGCTATTGCATACATTGCATTTCTACGAGATATGTTAGAATCAGAAAAACATCCAAATCAGTTTGTGAAGGAATGTATCAACGGAAATCCGGAATATAAATCAAGAAATGGAACATCAGTGGTAAGTAGAAACATGAAACAGTTGATAAAAAAAACCGACTATGTTTTATTTTTCAACTACCAGAAAAATGTGAGGCATTGTAATTATTTGATATTGTCGTATAAATTTATTGTACTTTTCACAGATTTAACAACGCGATTGATGTGGACTGAATGGGTCAGATGAATGAGTAGCTGCACGATGATTGCTTCCTGTTTTTTCGAAGTTCCATATTGTTTTAATTAACAAAGAGTGTACATTTTCATGTTTTCACTGATAGCTGGAAGCACACCTGTATTAAAATATCACAATTTACTTTTATTTATTTTTGTCCAATTTTATATCAGCATGACTTCTTTAACCCGTCTACTTCAATACATATGGATTATGAACAATATTTCAGTTTTGTGATTATAGAAAGGCGACCTAACCTATGTCATTGCAGGATAGACGATTTTTTATCATAGGTGATTCATTTGAGAAACAGACGAATTAAAAATGGGTACTTCCGTAGTGTGTGTACCAGGTTAGGGTTAGGCTGTAATTTTATTCCGATTTCCCTTATTTTAGTTGATAGAACTGCAATTCCTCTTGAATTCGAGTACTAATATACGCGTACACCGGCAATCGGGTCTACCTGGGATTGTTGGCCGAATGCTTATCAGTTAATCTACAAATTACGCAGAAGTTTTGTGATGGATATAGCAGCGGATTAGTTTTCCAACGCCGGATTAAAACAATATATATATATATTTCTCTTCACCACCCTCCTTGTCGCTGTCTAATCATAAAAACATATGCATATTCATGTGAAATTAAATTATTAATTTAGAGTGAAGAATTTGGCAATTGCTATTATTTGATATATACAAACTGGCGCTCACCCTATTCCACTTACATACAAATATGACAAGCTAATTTGATTCATTAACTCAACTTGCAACGTGTGATTTATTCCGTATTTTGCCTACGTAACTTCTTGTTGCAGTGCGAAATGAACAAACGTTATAATTTATTTTATTACCGCTTCAATTCACGTACAAACAAAAAAACGTAATAAAAATACGTTTAACAACTACTACACAGTAAAAACCGTATAAACAAATACAAATTTATTCCAACATTTTCTTCTTGAGATTATGGTGGAGACAGCTTAGCAACGATGTCCAAGGTGTAAGTTTTTATATCTCTTTGTTTTGACAATCCATCAATCGAAGTCAGATACATAGGTGTGGAACGAAAAGCATTAGCAATTGCAATGTGAATGTAAGATTTTCTATCAACTTTGACCTGTAAATTAAAATGAATTTGAAAGTGTCATTGGAAATAACAAAATCTCATGGCAAGTTTGCCATTGTGTGAATACTAAAATGTACATGCATATTTAACAAATAGGGGATTTAAAAGCATTATTTAAAATGTCTCGTCAGAATTACATTGTAATATTGGGCAAAAAACTATCCTCATCCATAGCCCATGCTGATCGAGGTTGAGAATCGCTCTACCACCAGGACAACATCTTCTTTCTTGTAATTCTCTAACCATAATTGAATAGATTTACTGACGAGTATGTTTGCCTATTTTTGATTTAATTACCTTGGCTATAATAATATTTTCATCTTCCACCGATAGCCTGAACGATTTTGTAGAAAATATCGAAAACGTTTCGTTCAGTTCCACTTGCGATTCAGAAAGAAACTGTAATAAATAACAAGCAACAAAGAATTACTTTAAATTTAAAATTGAATAAAGATCATTTTATGAACGGGTGTTTTGTTTACTCAATATAAAATAAATTTACTTTCAGCAGTCTATCAACAAAAGTAACCATTCTGACCCACAGTATAAGAAAGAATAGATCGAAACAGGTTTTCCTCTGTTAAGGTCAGGATTACAATTGCGAAAGGATCTTGCTTGTGTATAAAGTCCAAGGTTTCCATTTCCTAAGCCCCATCAACATCTATTAGCCCCAGCTATGTACTTCATTTTCTTATCAATAATCACCCACTCCCGTATAATCAAAACGATTGTTTTTATTTCAATTCCTATTATATAATTACTTTCGTTAACCGTTAAACGAAAATTTCAAGTGCGGTTAACACTTTTTTTATTATTTAGGATATGAATTTTATACTATTACACTCACCTTAGATACGATATTATTCACTACAGATCCATTTCTGTTAACTATCGGTGAGATGGTATATTGAGCTGCAGAACTGATTGAAATCGTATATAATAAAACGATTCCTACTAGAACAACGCACCCGAGGTATTTAGTGCAAAACATCGCTACTTTTTTCGTTCCACGTCCTGACTGGTATGTGGTTAAGGTTACGGAGAACTAGAATTTATTTTCATATACTTTGGTAAAATTATTTAAAGTTTACTAAGATTCCAGTGTAAATAATGCCAATTGATCGTATCTAAATGAACATTCCGAACTCTAATTCTATTATATCACTGAAATTTATTCATGCGCTACCTTCTTAGACTTCGTCTTGTAGAGTCATGAGAAGGCAAATAGTTACAATTACTAGGTAATTCAAGTTAAACTACTTCTACTGTCAGTTATTCTTTCATTTCACCAATTGTCCATCTAAATAGCTCATGCCAAATTGTAGGGTACGGTGTAATAGGATTATGGAACTCCGAAATGTCATTGCCAATTTAAACATTAGAGGTTCACTTCATACAAGTTCTCATGCAGCTTAAGCGGATCGTTCAACGTCACAAGCTATATTTACGGCTATTTGTAAGATAGCCTTGGCGTGAGTAATAGTAGTATGTTTATGTGAAGAAACTTCTAAAATTGCAATGTGCAGATATAGTATGAGATAATCGTATGATAAACTTGGCTCGATGAAATCTAGGTACAAGTTTTACGTTTGAAATTATTTATAATTTCAGGCATAAATGAATAACAGTTTTAGTCCTAAAGTGTTTTTATTCGAAAAAATCCACGATTTGTCTTCAGGCTTTCAGAAAATGTTTTCAAGAGCATGAAATGTACATAAGGATTGTTTTGGTATTATGTTGTTGGCATAAGTTTTTTATTGTCAGATTTAAAGTCTATTTTTCAAACTTTTTAACTATTATAGCTGCCTTAATTTTCAGCAATGTTAACGGCCTAATAAATTTTAGGGGATGTTTTTGAAAACGGAAATATCGTTCTACCAATTGTCGCATTCCCAACTGGTCAATTCTGTATCCTGTACTCAACGCTGTATATAACTCGCTATAACTTTCTCACACCACCGTAATTCATAAGTATCAGAAAAATATTAATAATACTCCACTAATTACCAATACAAAACAAAATATTTATTTTTCAATTTAATAATACACAAACCAACTACAACAAAAACACACTAATGTAAAAAGTACATAATTATGAGGTTGTGAAGAAAAATGTTGTAAAGATACCGAAAAATATACAGGTTTATAATAAACAAAATATGATCTTTTGCAAAAATGACAATTGTTTTAATTATTCCCGAGGTCGAAGAGTCGCAGTAACTTCTAGGATGAAATCTTTTGAACCAATATATTTGATGGAAGTAAGATAAGTAGGAGAATCGAAAGTTTCTCTGATTGCCATATTGATGTATCGTCTCCTACCAACTTGGATCTGAAAATAAAACGAGAAAATATACCGCCTTAAAATAAACGGTATGGACTTTTGTCAACCCAGATGAAATGGTATTCCATACTAACCTACGTGTGAGCCCTAGGTATTCAGTCTCAGTTTCGGGACAATTAGAATATGATTGTCGAAGCGTTGCGCATATAAATATTTCAAACAATCTTAAGCTCACGACTTAAGGTTTAGTGAAACGTTCTTTCATCGTAAATTCATTAATGATGAAGGAAATGACATACGTATATATGAGAATGATTTTACCAATTACGATTCTATCGTTACTATTTTTTTATATAAAATGATTTTTTAAAGTAGAAGTAATCACCTTGACTAAGATAATGTCGTAATCTTCAATTGCTCTTTGATAAGATTTAGCAACAAACATTGTCGAAAAATTGTCATTGAGGTCATCTTGCGCTTCTTTGATGAACTGAAAATAAATAAAACCAAGCCATGTTCGGTGAATATTAAAATTAAATGAATGCTTTTGGCACCCCCGTGGAATGTGCACCAAGATGGCGGACACCGGAGGTTAGAGTTAGGACATAATTTTATTCTAATTTTTCTTATTTTAGTTATATTACAAGTTCGGGGACTAGCCAAGTGACTCCCGTAGTGCTTGTACCAGAAATTATGGCCTAACCCTAACCTGCTGGTACACATACTGCGCTATCTTGGTGCACAAACTACATGAGTACCATGCTTTTTGTTAGTTATTACCCACAGAGAACATATGGCAACACTGTAATAAGAAGAATAAACCTAATTCACGAAAGACTGGGCCTAAAATCCCAATTAAATCGAATAGTTTGCTTAAACTAACTTACTTTTTGAACGGTCTTCTGATATCGAGCTCCATTGGTGTCTCTGAATCCAGAAATTGTGTAGGTTGTGGCAAATACTGAAGAGGCAGAAAGTCCGATCACCACCAGAAGAAATGCAAAGTAGTTCATCTTGTTTCTTTGTTTTTGTTTGTACTCACGATTATGACTGAAAACTTATATATGTAATCTTGCTTTATCGCTTTGCTTATATACTACGAAACCATTAAAAATGTTTAATTTTGTAACAATCAGATAAATATGGTCCATTGAAAATTTACACATGAAGACTGTCATTATTCATGGCTCATACTTGTCTAACTTAGAACTTGAGTTGATAGGAAAATAAAATTTTACCATACACGTGTTAATTTCAGCGACGACACTCTACGAGTAAGTATACTAGGATATGTATTCTGAATATATGTATTCATGTTCAGTTCATACATGAATGTAGCCTAAACTCGGCTTAAACTAAAAATAAGCATAGTCGAATATGGTTATTAATTGTAATACTTTTACCATAAAACGGTTAGACTTACGCTAATATTGCGAAGAGTCAGTGTATATGTGTTAATTGTCTTCTAATGCATATAAAACAAATAGTGAATATTCACATCCAGTAAATAAATCATGTGTCCTCTCGCCGCGCGCGAACGTGATATAAATCTTAACATAAATCTTCTTGTCTAGCAGCGACTTCTTTGAATTTTTAATGACACTTGGTCGTCTTTTGTTAAATGAGTCGAATATACAAAGAACCCATACAAAAACACATAATATTAATGTGGAAACCTCTGTAGAGCATAGTTCCAGTAAAATACCTCAGACTGTTTAGCATTGTCAAAATTTCGGGCCGTGACTCGTGACTGAGATGTACAAAGTCCAAGCAGTGTGTAAAGGTGTACAGCGGTTTCAATATTCGAAATAGTTTAACGTGTTTGCATTTTCAAATTATTTTGTAAATCTGTGCAATTGTCACTATTTCTTTCATTCCGAATAGTAGAGTATTTTGTATTTTGGTAAATGACCCATGTTAAGTATATCTCATAAACTGCTTGAGTACCGACAACAGTACTATACGCCACCCTTGTGACGCAATTTTAGAAGACCCAAAATAGTTCAATAGTAATTATATATATCCATTGAGGTTTACTAAGTTCTTGCTAGAGTACCCATTGGCGGCGCTAGACGCTTGTGATTTTGAAGCGAATCACAACCTTATGTTAAACTTTACGCTTATGTGAAATACGGGTTTCCATTTATACGATGCAATTTGGCTACATTATGGGGAAGTAAAGAGTGATGGGCTCCCTAACTTCAGCAAAATTTGACGATATGTTCATATCAATAAACATAATTTATGTTATCATTTCTTCGTATCTTGACCCCTTACTTTCAATGACATATATCAGGGTGGTCCAAGGTTGCTCGGTTGAAGGGCCGCAAAACTTTTGAGAGGGTCTCGCGGGCCGCAGTCGGAGAAAAACCCAAAAGTGATCAAAATATCGCGAGTTTACTTACTTTAAATATATTAAATTAAAAAATGAGAGTTTAGCGTTCTAATCGGCCGATTGTTATGTTGCATGGGTGTTTTTTTATTATTTTAAGGAAGATATATAAACTAAGCATATAGTCATTTTAAAATTGCTTCCCGAGTAGTACCGTGGCATTTTCCGTAGCTTTTCTCGCGTTTGGTTTGGTAATGTTGCTTTAAATTTTATTGTTTCGTGACAGATATTATTTTAATTATAGCACACCAGACGCTGTGGTTAACCGTTGTTGCGGGCAAGGAAATACGTTTCCTCTCAGTTTTCCTCTGTCACTTGTCCTTCAAGACTCCTTTTATGATGAATTGTTTTATTTGACTAATTTTATAACTTGCAGGGGCCTAGTGCTATCGTCAAAGAACAACCAAGTCAGTCTAAGTTGGGATTTCGATGCCTAGCTAAAATAAAATGGATTGCGCCGAGCTAAGTCAGCTATGCGTTTCGTCACTGCGGTCACATGGCCCACGCTTGAAAATAGAGGAATTCATTTTCCCTATACCGATCACGAACCTCTCATATCGGCACCCTAGATACAACATTGAAATTGGATTAGTATACGCTAAATGTAAAATTGTTCAGTGGGTCGCACGGAATGTGTCCGCGAGTCGCATGCAGACCGCGTGCCAAGGTTTGGACCACCCTGAGTCATATATATATACGTTAACTTTTAAACCAGACCATTATTCCAATTTTTGTTTCATTATTTTACAGCCATTTTGTTCGCGTTATGCTGATTATTTGACATTGGATTTGTTGTTCATGGCTTTCATACGACCGTGTCCATGCATCTGATTTTTATTTGAACCAAGCCTCTTATTTTCAGGATGAAATTCTATCTTATAAATAGCTTTTATTTTATTTTAAAGTCAGGAAAGTTAGAGAATTTTAAACCATTCGCTTCAGCATTGTCCTATAACTAATGTTTCCTCAGACATATAATTTATTGTTAATATTCAATATGTTAAGCAATAGAGAAATTAAAAACTTTACAAATACTCACTCACTACATCAGAAAACGCACATGTGCTTAGTAAATGCAGATACAACAAAGCGCATCTCATCGTTTTATATTGAAAAGCCTATCTATACTCGTGTTGTGATTTTATAGTTTGGAAGGTACATTCAGTTCATGTTTACATTTTGGTTATTTTTTCCTTGTGAATTTTGTGATGCAATGAGGAGTTTCAAAATAGTGTGCGTTCTATTTTCTTGCCATTTGTAACAATGTCGATGTTAAAAATGTAGTCGCATAAAAAACGATCCTCAGGATGTAAAAAAATTAGATTGATTCCAGATCCGAACACCGAAAAAATCAAATTATGATAACACAAACTTTGGCGTGTGGCGAGCCCGCATTACCATCACTGAAAGTATATATCACTTCAGAGAATTAAACTTTAAATCCTGGCGATTTGTAAATAAGACATGCCCAAATCTGATTCCTTTACTACTTTGTAACGCAATGAAACGCGATTTATCCATTGAGTGGTATAAACAATATTAGGATAATATGCTTAATATTTAGAATGGGAGAGAGAGAAGTTGGTCATACGGTGTACCACGGCCTTTCGTCCGATTACCTGCCTAGGTTGGGTATGGGCTAGCTAGCCTGGTGTTGTTTATTTCAGGTACATACACTTAATGGTAGGGGATGCTGTAACCGATAGGCGACCGACCTTTATTATAATTTACTCTTCCGAATACACTTTAAAAAAATATTTTTGAATCTAGAATATATATTTTTTAAATCGGTCTATGGGCCGAAAGATAATCTAATAGGCTGTTGCACTCATATCGAGGCCTCTAAGCAAGGCTGGATTACCCATTAAGCAGTATAAGCACGTGCTTAGGGAACCAAATCTTCAATGTTACCTCAGTGTTAGATGAGGTAACACGCGTTGGTCAGGCAACACGGATTTCAATATTAAACCGGTTGAAATAAATCTGTGCATATTATTTTTCCACAAGTATCATCTGAAACCTTCTATAAATGTTTATAGGCATGACAACTATTTAAAAAAAAAGAATGCAAATTAATCATAACTTGTCCCTCAGTTTGTAGCGAAAGGGTGTTTCCTCTACCCTTGCCCCCTGAAAAATTCTCCCCACACTTTACTACTGCAAAAAAAATTATGCTTATTTTGAGAGTGTTCTGGAGAGTGGGCACTTACAATTTGGTTAACATGTTCAAAAACATCATTTTTAATTATTTACATCAACTATTTGACCACATCTTGGGTGGCTTACATCTTGGGCTAGTCTGTCGCAGCGTTTGCGGGACTGATGTTTGATTATTTCAACTAAACTAAAAGCTCCTCGGAAGACGTAATGACTATCATGTTATTTGATTTAGAACTAACTTGTTTTTGAAAACACAATTGAAACTGACAAATAAAGTACAAAACACTGAAACCAAACCGATGCTTACAACGGTGGTTATCAGACTGAGCGGTTGGACAAATTGAAATTGTTTCGTCATTGCTGATTGGTAAATGTTACGGAAATAAACAAAGAAATCGATTCCCGTGGAAACATTCACACTGACACTTACTTATTCAATTTCAGATAACATGAAACACTAGTTGCGTTTTTATAAATATTACTTTCCATGTATATGGCACCAAAGTCCTAAGTGCTTAGGCCCCATGAAAGGCATAATCCGACCCTGGTTCTAATCACTCAATGTATAAAACACTGTCGAATGATGCCTGGTGGAGCATGTCCCATTAAACCCCGGGCTATTGTTCTCCATAAGCGATCGTAGATTTTTATACTGCTCCGTGTCAAGAATACACTCGCCAACGTTATGAATATTTCACACTGGACTAAGGGTAAAATATGCCAGGCAGTTCATCTAATCTCATAGCTTGCAATGCTCTGCGATGTCAAACACCGAAACTCATTACTGATTCCGGATAAAATATGAGTGTGAGTGTTGATTTTCTATTGTGCTCCATGTCCCCATATACTTAACATGAGGATCAGCACTGTTATTTCAATTTTGTTCTTTAGACGCAAAACTGATTTTTTGAGATTTCTTCAATTGCCAGGGATGTAGCCAAGTATTTATAGAAAGTGGATTTCTTCAGTATGTTTTTGCTTACTCAGCATCACCTGGAATTGTTTTTCTGAGTTGTTTGGTCAGCACATGAGTTTAACAGCAACCCTACCACGTATTAGGTATTAGGTTCATGCTGCTCAATGCGTATGTTGGAAAGAAGTGGCATCAAATGCACGGGAGAAAACTGTCAGTTCTTGGATTGTATAATGCTTGTTGAGAATTGCTCTGATCATGAAGAAAGTGCGAGTTAGACAACAACTAGTATCATCCCTTGTGTGACTGTGATGACAAAAAAATCTCCATGTTGTCTGAGCACAAATTCTATGTCATTGACTACTTTGCTGATTTTGTTGCCAGGTTACGAAACAAAGAGGACTTGTAACTAGAAGTAGGAGTCCAATTTCTCTCAACTCGGATTCGATTGTAAACTTTCCTCGACTCGACAAGCCTAGTTGAGAATAATTGCCATCCTTATGCATCGTAAACTTATTAATATTTGGAAAAAAATATTTTTGTGATTATATATTTTTCGTTTCTAACAATGCATATGTTTTGATTATAAAATTTGAAATGCAACAGTTTACAGTTATTCTTTATAACATTTAAACTTTGAACTCTCCTGTTCGATTAAAATTATTGAATTCATATTGAAGGGACTCATTATGAATATAAATTAAGTTGAATAAAATCATCCATAGAAAGTAATAATCATCTCTGTTTGTCATATGAATCTCATTATTAAACCGCATTAAGTAGGTCGTAAAATAAATTATGGACAGTTTAGTTTTGGAATGAGAAACCAATTCAACTTTATACAAATGCACGAAAAAAATATATAGTTTATTTATATTATAATAAGACGCTTAAAGTCATCGATATATTTTTAACAATTTTTGATCCGCGAATTTTAGAATTGTAATAATAAAAAAAACGAATGAAAGAGAAGATTTTATATTACTATTTTTGATACCCTCAAAATTGCCTCGAACCAGTTGTGTGTTTTACAACAGGAAAAATACAGTATTTTGCATGCGCAAAATACAATATAGACACACAGTATTTGAGTCTGGGCAAGCCCGATAAGCATTATTATTACGTAACAAATGCAAGTTTTTCCGCTGCCGGGGTTTAAAAATGAAGTGCCAAAAATCGCGTGTCGAAATCCAGACTGACAAATGATCCTACAATAACTTCCGCAGTATGCATTAGTTATTGTCTCACTCCAAAAGTAGTGTGATAAATTTTATTCGCAATGGTAGCAGTAGCATCAAAATGCCCAATTTGTTCTAATTCTAAGCAAGCGAAGAATCGCGTTTGGAGGAAATTGTAAATTAGATACTGAAGTTGAGCAGTCATGTAACATTCATGGTTTGAGAATATTTATTTTTTGCTCATGGGGTGACACATGAATACTTAACACTTACGACTAAAAATTAGGCACGCCCTTTTTCCGAATTGTATTATTTAAATAAATCTTAAATAAATGATGAAACATTTACTCCGGGTACAATTAAATATTCAAATCAACAACTTAAATGGAACATAAGAAATACAAGTTGTGTATGTGCATGTGCAGTTATCTGCACATTTAGTGTCCATTCGTTTTTGTGTAGGACCTTATTACCGATCAGTCGATCGCGATCTATGTTGAAGATTTTAGTCGATCGCGATCGGAAGCAGGTTGGCCACCCCTGATATAGACCAAACGACAATTGCATTATTGCGGACTTGGCGAGCTCTCTAATCAATCGCAAATATATTATAATTTATCCACGAGTAATAAAATGTTGTTAATTTGAATGTGATTGTGCTGAATATTCCAGAAAATATCGTTGTTTTCACACCGAGATCTTAAATTACTTCCTCTTCCACTATTTCCATCTATTGATGGGCATCAACTAAAAGCCCTCGAGGCAGTTCAGCTGCATTCAAAGCATTTATTTAATTGCCCGTATTGAAGATAATTAACCAACCGTGCGACGATCATTTCGAATATGAAGGTGTACAACTTTTTTAGAAGTTAAATAAAGTTCATCATAAATAATAAATCATTATTTCTCCTGTTTGAAACTCGATCAAGCTCTTTTGTGAGAGGGTCCATGCTTACATTATGGATATACACATAAAAGGCATTCAACGGTGAAAATCATTCCTCTCTTTGAAGGATTTTATTGTATAACACCATGGATATATTGCTGCTAATTTTAATTTTGTAGCACGTAATTTACTACGTGCCAAACTATAAACAAGATATTTCTAATTTTTTTTATTTGTGCCATAAACGTGTCTTAGATGTGCGAATATAAAAGCCCAATGACTTATGTTCATGCACACTTTTGATCTGAGACTCGATTTGGAAGTTATTGGCCGCTGTTAAAATAAAAAAAAACTCAAAAATGCAGTCGTCCTTTGTAGTTTTGTTGTGCCTGGTAGCTTGCATTTCACTGACGAACGCTTTTACAATTTATACTTTTGGCGATAGGGTTCAAATTCAAAAGAAAGATACGGTGGATACCATTGCTGATTCCGTAAGTACATCTCATAATGTATTCAATCCAATTTAAAATACGGAAAATTTTTAAGAGTAGTTACAATACTCAATCCAATTGTTTTTAGTTGAAACAAGAACTTCAAATAATGAATGGTGAGAAATACGGAAAGAAAAAATGGGACCCCAGAATTTACAGAACATCACGCCAAAATACCAACGTAATTTGGATGAAGGTTAGTAAATTTTCACCTTTATGGTAACATTCCTTATTAGGTATTGAACAAACCAGATTGTTACTAGGATTTTAATGAATTCACAAATGCATAACACTTATTGAGGTTAGTAACGCTGTGCTTAGGTGATCTGTCAAAAAATTCTGATCACTTTGAGTAAGTACATTACAATTCACAAGGTAAAGCGTGTATTTCACCGACGTTTGCAGTTGGATTTTAAATATAGATCCGATGTATTAGTTATTAAACGTAATGCAACACAACTTCAATATTTCGTTCTGAGGTTGAATGATGAAATATTATTTTCCCTTTACAGATCAAAGTTGATCACAAGAAATTTCTTGGAGTTGTCATCGAAGACGCTTACTCTGGTTCACCTAATATTATTGAATGTGAAGTCGGATACGACAGAAATATGGGAATGAAAACAGGAGCTTTAATTCTCTAACTTTTTTATTTCTATCTTCTTTCATTATCTGTACAAAACAAATCATATGTGAGTATATATTGAAATGGAAAACAAAGTCAGTATTTAAATTATGAAGTGTGATTTTATACCTTATACTGTACTTTTTGATTATCGATACAATGACTTTTTTCCTTTAAGTTGACTAATTTAAACGTGAGACGTCTCCGTCATCGTTAGTAATATGGAACGTTTTTTTATTATTAAGCATTGTCGAATCGCATGTCGTCAATTCACAATAAATTGATCTAGTTTATAGGGCGAAGTATTTTATCAACAATAAGTCAAAAGCTTCTATCGGATTCTTTTCAGAATTTTTGTCTAGATCGAATCGAGTGTTAAACTGGAGTTGACTTGATTCATTGAATGTGTTTTAAGAATTTTTTGACTCAACTTTGTGTATTATATTTATTTTAAATATCGTTTCTTATCTTTGATGAATTTATTTTATTTTATTTAATAAACATTAAAAAATTTATTTGCTGTGCGTATAAAATAAGCAATATTGTAAGCCTACGTCTATTCTAAATGCTAGGAACAGGGATGACACTGGAGCGTTATCTTCCTTCATAATGATATATAGATTGAAAAGCAAGGTTCGTTATATTCCTGAAACAAAGAGAAAATATAGGAGAACTTGGATTCTAAACTTGCTTATAGCAAACGGAAGTGTGTTAATTAACGCTACCGTCATAAACGTTCGCATATAGTGAAATCGTTGAAAGTTTACTTATTCAGTTAAAATCAAATATTACAAATCTCTTATATTGGTTAGATGTCTTTTTCCACCAATATGAATAGAAGACGAACGACTGCAAATAAAAAATAAATTTATAAATAACCGTCTCCTGATTCTGTAACTCTTCCCTCAAATCTCAAAGAAAATATGTGGAAATGTAATTAATTACTGATTTGAACATCAATTTAATTCCATGTCCAAATTTTTGAAATATTTTTCGATGAAAAATCGCAAGAGTGAATTAGTCAATTTATGAGCTGAGCGTTAGACAGGCGCTAGCCATCGCACTTCTGATTACCATGCGTGAGTTTGAATCCCGTGAGAGATAATTGTGTGCGAAAGAGATTGCTGGACGCCTCACCGTCGTAGAGTTCCTTCACCATTGGGTCATACATTTAAAACAAATACTTGACTAACTAATCCTATATAGACAGGTAACCGGACAAGATGCCGTGGTACGCCATATGATAAAGCCGTCCTATTGCCCCGGGATAAAAATGATATCGTATCCTTATATACCTCAAGCCGTAGTAGTATATATTTACGCTCAAGTCCGTGTATATAACCGTAAATATATACTATATAACTGAGAAAAAATAAATAAATAACAAACGAGGGGTGAAATGGTATGAGGATGTTCACCCCCTATAGGGGTGTAGGTCGTATTACTTACTCACTTTAGTTCATACCGGAGAAAGATGTTCTTGTTGCTCAATTGGAGCAAAAGTGTTGTTACTATTGTTCTGGCGGTTGTTACTGTTTGAAAAGAAATTACCTTTTCCCGCTACGACTACGAAAGGGACATTTGACTTCAAAATTTAATTACTTGAAGGCGTTTGGAGCCGCTAGACCACCGATTCTCAACCAGTGGGCCATGGCCAACATAAACATTTTCAGGTGGACCAGGAACCAATTAAAAAAATTGCTGGAGTTGAAATTAGTATAATTTGATTGGAGTAGCAATTAATGATGATGCTATTTTTGGGAATTGAGTGGTAAAATTTTCATTAAAAAAATTCAATTGTCTATTTTTGGCGAAAAGGATTTTTTGATTCTCTGTAATTCTGTATAGTTTCCCTTTCATGAGAAAGTGGATGGGCCACAGAAAACATACACGTGTAGTCGTGTAGTAATCGAATATAAATACAAGAGAGCTACGCCCAAATATATGAACACGTCTGTTCGCAGTACAGTACGGTTTACCGTACCGTCAGATCACAGTCTACAAATATATTCACACCAAGCGAAGCAGTACAGTAGGACTTCCAACTTTCGCTAAGGCGGTACTGTGACGTCCCCGCAGAAAAGAAAACCAACATTATTGCAATACTGTACGGTACAGTACCGGTACCGTAGTAAGAGACAGCGTAAGGAAAAAATCGTAGCAAAGTACCGTTCGGTGACGTCATAGCAAACAAAAACAAATCTCACAGAGCTAACAGAAATATTTGAAATAAATAAAAGTAATAGCCTTCTGGAGAAAAATTTCATCTTTAACCAGTAAAAATTTCGAAGCAATCGATCCAGTAATGAAAGAGAAAAGCGGTTTTTTAGATTTTCCACTAGATGTCCAAAAAGTGTCAAAGAACAACAACAACAAGACCAACATAATATTGAAACGATCGTTATGTCCACTACGTGTCCAAAAACTGAAGTGTGAGTTTCAGAATCATTGCCCAGTGGGCATTGATTAAAAAGTCAAGGAATGTTAAAGTTTAGCAAAATGGATAAATTTTTAAAAAGAACATCTGAAACATCTAATACCGAGCAACATATTGTACCTAGCACAAGCAACGTTGAAAAGAAAAAAAAACTTATCAAATTGGAATACAGGGAAGATTACATTAAATATGTATTTTCTTGTTGTGGTAGCGAAGATGCTCCAAATTCAGTCTGCGTTATTTGTGGAGAGTAACTTTCAAACAAAGCAATGGGTAAACTTATGCGCCAATTAAATCCGAAATACGGTCTCGTGTCAAATTTGACGAAAAAGCACTCTAATACAACAAAGATATGACAAGTACTGGTACTTTTTCGCAATTAACAATGAACGGCTGGATCCGGAATCCTTTCTCAACTAGTGCTGAAATGTCAACGAAAGAATCACCCTTGCGTATTAGAGAAAACTTCTTGGAAGTAAGAAATGACAGAACGCTAAGACTCAAATTCGGTGAAATTCCACTTGATGTGTTTTGGATTTCAATAAAAGAAGGATATAAGAGCACATTTCCAATGCAGCTTTTGAAATATTGCTCCAGTTTTGCACAACTTACGTGTGCAAACAAAGCCTTTCCTCTTTAATACTGATCAAAAACAATAAACGATCCTGCATAAAAGATGTTGACGGCGACCTTCGAGTTGCTCTTCCACGTATTGATCCTAATATAAAGCGATTGTACTCATTAAAACAACCACAAATCTCTCAGTGAAATATGAACATAAAACAAAGTTACACTTCGTTTTTTTCGTTTATAAGTGTGCCGCAAGTTAAAAAAGGTTGCGGAGCACTGCCCTAGATCATTGTTTCCCCATTCGAGTCCGTGGTATCAAATAGGAGAAGTCCTGAACATAAACAAAATCAGCAATCCGCGTATCGCACTTCCCTCAGCGTGTGTATAGTCAACATTGTTAAGTCATATGTCCGTGAAAGCACAATGCATCGGATGTGAAGCAAACCAAAACGTACTACCCATTCGCAAACAAATTCCAAATGTAGGATATATACCCAAATTCCAACGTCAAAAACAGCGTCAGCCAAAATAGTCATCACCAATACCAACATCCCTAGACCAGGGCTACTCAACTATTTTTATTGAAAGTCCGCAAACAAAACTTCAAAATTATTTGGGCCGGTCTTTCCAGAAATGATATTTCGGCATCCTTAAACGAGCACTTCCTCGACCGACTATTGATTAGTAGCAAATTAAAATTGTTTATTGGACACGAAATGGACATAACGATCGTTTCAATATTATGTTGGTCTTGTTGTTGGACACGTAGTGGACATAACGATCGTTTCAATATTATGTTGTTCTTGTTGTTTGACACAGAATAACACACCCAGTGGAAATATTAAAAATCCGCTTTTCTCTTCGAATACTGGACCAATTGCTTTGAAATTTTCAGTGGTTGAGGATAAAAGTTTTTCCCAGAAGGCTATTACTTTTATTCATTTTAAATATACCTGTTAGCTCTGTGAGATTTGTTTTTGTTTGCTATGACGTCATTAAACGTTCAGCGGATATCGGACGCTATTTTGTGTCCTACTGTACTGCTTCGCTTGGTGTGAATATATTTGTAGACTGTGATCTGACGGTACGGTAAACCGTACTGTACTGCGAACAGACGTGTCCATATATTTGGGCGTAGCTCTCTTGTTATGGTGTTATAGTTCTTTTCGTATATATTCAAAACTATGAAAGTCATTTTATAGTAGGAAATTCAAAAAGTGGGGCTAATGATCCAAAATAAATAATTAGGTGCGGTCCACATCCAATACTCGAAAGGTCCGGATTCGGACCGCGTTCCGCCAGTTGAGTAGCCCTGCTCTAGACCAGGGGTGGCACATTTGCGGCCCCAGAGAGCTTCCAATGCGGCCCTCGAACGCTTAACAATATTTGTAATATTTTGTATTCTAAATGTTCTACATTTTTCAAATCTTTCAAGATGAAATTGGTTATTCACACAGAAAACGACGATATATTGAAAGTAGTTTTGGAAAATCATTTTTTTTTTGTTTTTTTCTCAATTAGACCCACTCATGAATACACCTCAAGCTAGCAAAATAGCACTTGAAAGACACTTCGGGATTAAATGAAACGAGAAGTACATGAAGATGGTGGCATATTTGAAGGAAAAGAGGAGTTGCAAAATTTCTGCTTTTCTCAAAATTCTAAAGCACATTGTTTAATTTGTCACATATCCATCAGTAGCCTACAATGAAAGAATATAATATAAGTAGACATTGAAAGAATAAGCTCAGCAGTCAAAATGTAGAGTTTTCAAGGTCAACTTCGAAAAGAAAAATTATGTTTTTGGACATTAATTATGATACAACTACCTAGTTACTAAAATAAATATTATTTCTAACTCAATCGGTCCTATGCCACGTAATGGTAGGAAATGTCGAGTAATGGTGGTCTGTTCCGAAAAAGGGAACCATTTGTTTGTTTACTGATCTATAACCTACTTGAAATGATAAACGTAATATTTTGGCATTATTGAAATTGATCAAACATTCCCAACGATCCAGATTAACCGATGACCATGTGACCTCGTTAATTAGAGTTGGTACCGTAAAATCTTTTTTTTCAGATTGATATATATTAGTAAGCTGGTGGCACAAAAGAGATGCCAAATTTCAGGACTAGGGATGTATGTTTCGAATATTTTATTTTCGAATCACAATGTTCCGATTCGAATATTTCCGAATCTGATTCTATTTAGTATATCATCATATTATCGTCAACTTTCTTGAAATTTGAAAGAAATATAGTATAACTTTTGATAAAATAACAATAATGAGCCGAAAGACCTAAGAAAGTTACTAGAAAAACACACTGCATGGATGTATCAACTACCAAATATATTACGGCTGAGATTTACTTTTTGTTACATAAAGGTAAACTCAGTTACATATTTACTTACATACAATTATGTTTGCAAATAATACCGGGTGTATAGCGATTGTTTGTTCTAAAATTGAACTTCAAAATTTATCCAAATGATAAACGCTAGTTAGTAACGTATGCGCCATGATTGTAAAAGAAGCAAAGATAACGAGGGAAGCATCGCAGACATGTTTTCAATAAAGTATAAAGCAATGATGTATGTAGATAATTTGAAGAAACGTTTCAAATATTTGTGAAACTTTGTAACATTTTGAGTAGTCGATTAAAATTGAGCGAAAGCTGCTACCAATATGAAATATAACGATTCTGGAGTGTCACGGCTGGCTTTGGAAAGCTGTAGGCCTACACGTAGGGATAATAAACGCTTTTGGTCGATATAAAGGCGACGCCGCTGTGTCGTGCAATAATTTTTTTTTTGAAATAGAATCAAGCCCCTTTTTGTTAAATTGCTTCGAGTCGATATTGATTCGAATCGCTTCGAAATTCTAAAACTTACATCCTTATTCAGGATATATGTAATGAAAAAAAACTTGAGTTTATTCTGTAACATTTTTGTAAATTTTAGGTCTATATATATATATTAAGCCATGCTTAGTATATGTATTAACTTCGTTCAAAAATGTTTTGAATAGTTGTGCATACAAATTTATGATTTTTTGTAATAAATACAGTTAATTGCAAGAATAGTGAAATGCAAAAATTAATATGTAAATGGCATTTGAGATTTGAGTAAATAACAAAACTTTATTCCGCTGTTTAATTGCGTCACAAACTACACCTATCTAGAAGATCTAATTCAAGCATACATTATCAAAAACTGTTTGCGGCCCTTTGCCCAGTTCCCAAAATGCAATGCGGCCCTCGAAAACCCACGAGTTTGACACCCCTGCTCTAGATTGCCCCGTCGTCACATCCCCTTCAAAACTTTTCAACTGAATTCGTTTACGCCTTACGGCCTTGCACATACTTCTAACGCTAACCGAATTGTATTATATAAACTAAAGCGTATGCGCTCTTCCGTTACATAATGATCACATTTGGTTTGTGTATGTTGTGTTACTGAGGTTAATTTCAGCATTTTACGGATGGCTAAAATATAGGCAAAGACTTGGGAATAAAAATTGGTATTAGAAATATGGGAAGAAATTATATGGCGTCTCATATTCCATCTTTTACAAAATGTGACGCCTGAGCAATGACCGCCTTCAATGCCTATTTGTTTAGGTTTGTGACTTGTTTTCTTTTTTCTTCGGTGAATGAACGCGTTGAATACGTTTTAAACTCATTTTTAGGTTTTGTTCACTCCCCAGATTCTTCGCTTTAATCTTTTGTGTATGTATATTTTGTTTTTGAAAATGAATCGGAGTAAAATTTATCTACCTATGTTTATGATAACTCTTATTCATTAAGTAAACTTTGTCGGTTAGGATTTCACATACAGTATATTCACCCAGTTTACTTACAATGTAAGATTTGTAAACAAATGGACACGATAACGGCCTTGCATACTGTCACAGTTAGGTTTTTCTCCTGTGTATTGAAAGAATCAGAAGACTCAGATTCCGGATTTGTGGTTTATTATGCGGCAGCCTCACACTTAACCTAAAATCAGCATAGAACAGAGAACACAGGGAAAATACGTTCGACAACCAACCCAGCCGAGCGAAGAAGAGAATGAAGCTCTTTTTTTCACACGACTCGATGGTGGTCGGAGTCTCACAATAACCGGACCCGGATGAAGTATATCCAAATTGAAGATCCTCGAAAAGAATATAGGCAAATATGAAATGACAAACTAAACCAAAACACACGGATAATAAAATTTGTGACAATACCCACATACGGAACTGACCTACACAAATCAATGTTTAAATTGGAAACTTTATTGCAATCAATCTTTCACATTTGTTTTATATATTTTGTGGTAAAATTGTTCGTCGGAATGAAATCTCTCCCAGCAATCATCCCTTCAGAGCTGCGGTTGTGTGAATCAACGGAGTTCACGCTGATTCAGCTCAAATAAATAAACTACGGTAAGTAATACCAATAAAGACATATACTGTAATCAGACAGGCGTAATGGTATTGGCCGAATACACGTATTCTTGTTTTTTACCCAAACTTCACATAAAGAGTTTTCACTATTGTTTGCTACAATATTATTAAACGGTTGTCATAAGTTTTAAATGATTAAAATTAGATGATCACTGGAAAAACATGAAAAAAAACTACGGTAATGAGAAAAGTTGGAATACCTCTCGCTAACCAGCTGGAAGTGTCGCTCGCTCTATGTACCGAGTATTTCACAAGTGAGTGGCGTAACCGTATTACAGTATTACCGGTACTGGATGTAGGGTAGAATCTTGTTCCGGTTTTTCTTACAAGTTCTTTTTATACAAGAGTGGTCATTTTTATTTACCTCAATATTTTGTTCGTGTTTAGTATAGGACTTTGTTTTGGTTGCTGGAATAGCATTAACGGGATATGCAAATGGAAAATAGCCAACGTCGGGAGAATGCAGTGCCACAGAGAACATTGGAATTTAGGTAGGTTTGTCGATCTGGACTACATTATATATATTACCATATGATATCCTGGCTGGAAACTAATTGGGGCCACTCTTCGCTTTTCTTTACCCGAGATAAGTATAAAACCAGAAAACTCCTATAATCCTATTGCTACAATTATAAACGACTTATCACATCTTTTTCAGGCAAGCCATGAAAGATTTTCGGACAATGTTTCCTACTCTGGATTCTGGTCTTATAGAATGTGTATTGAGAAGTAATGCAGGACATGTTGACTCAACCATTGATCAATTATTACAATTATCTCAAGACCCAAATGCAAAAACTAGAAAGTAAGTATTGTAATATACACAAACAGACTAAATAAGACTTTGAAATAAGAAAATTTGAATTGTTCCTTTCTCAAATCCTAACTTTTAACCATTGTTTGATCCTAATGGTATGGCGGGAATTCATCACAATTGGAAAACAGTTTTTGAGTATCAAATATATTTTTTTGACTGTTAACATTTTTTTGAAGTTTTTTTGAACTTTTTCAGTGATCATTGATACTTCTTGTAAACGCGTTAAATCTTAGCCATGTCATCAACAGACCAACAAACTCTTTAATTGGTGTTTTTATGGTGAATTTCTCCCATTGACATGCCTGTTATTTACTCTAATTCCTATATTACCCTGTTTTTGTCATTGGATAAAGTTTATAAATAATATAAATAATGTTCTTGCACTCACAGTATATACTAGATTTGTATGTCGTGTTTGTTTGATGATATATATATATATATGGGTGAATCATTTGTCATATTTTTAAAATGATTCTAAATTAAAATACTTTTTCTTCTATTCCAAGTGATTCCAAGAGCCTTGATGAACACTAAAACAAGTATATTTCTATAGCATTTTTAACCAAGGTCTAACTTAGACTGTTTCCTGTAAGCATATTTCAACTAACATAATTAGTAGTATGATAGTTTCTGACATTATGTAGGCGAAACGTACCAGTAGCATTTGTGTTAGTGTCCAACAATACTCTTGAATCAATTAGAATAACAATCGGCGCTTCAGAAGTGTATGTGCCAATATGGAGGTAACTAATTTTTTTCGCCTACTTTACATCAAGTTGTGTAAAGGAACTTAAATCTTTGGGCAGGGGGTATATTCACTTGGCTAACACTGACAGTCCCCGAACTTTTGATAGAACTAAAATAAGGAAAATAAAATTGTGGCTTAACCTTAACCCAATACACATACTACGGCAGTACCCAATCCTTTTTATTCCTGATACACTATCCTTGTATTATACGGGCACATACTTAACAGCTCAAATCCACAGGGGAGGATAGGTAGTTAGGTAATTTTATGTATAGTTTCATTCTTTTATTGTGCAATGTTTTTACTTTACAGTAGAGGAGGATGGAATGCAAATGAGGACAGTACAGACACTGATGATTCCATTCCTTCAGAGGTTAGCATCATCATTTATCTGTGGGAAATTTTTTCCATGAAATTGTTTTAACAATTTATGAATATTACTTCACTAAATTTTAGAGAATTTTAGTTTGGGTAAAATTGGAAATACCGACCGGGCGACATAATATTTAAATAATGGAATAGATGTACAATAGCCTATGTACATATAGAATTTGATTTGATATTCAAAACTTTTGCTTGCTTTTTGTTTAACTCAAATTTCAAACAATCTATCTAACTGATATATTTTAGAATGTGATATGAGGTGTTCATAAAAGCCCTCTAGCCTATTATATCAGGTAAATGAATTTTGATGGGTTCCTTGCAATTAATGGGGGGGGCACTAATTAAATAAACCAACCTAGTTAAAATATATAGTGAGGACCAACTTCACAATGGAATTTTAGTGGCAATGGACCCCATAAACACCTGTATTTAACTTTTTAAAATAAATCCAGATTATACTGCAAAAATTGACAAATTCTGGTCGAAAAGAAATACTATACCTATTACTATTATCATAACAGCTATTTCTAATTTTTTTCAGACATAATTTTTTAGACATCTCTAAGTATCAATTATGTTATTTTCAGTTGCTTGATCCGCCCACTTCTAGTGATGATGATATACCAGTGAGAGATCCACCACCAATGTACACTCCAAGGGTTGGTGACCCGCCTCCAAATTTTTTTGGTCCAAATCAGCCTGTCGAGGTTCCAGTTAGTGAGAAAAAAAGAGGATCTCACAAGCATTCTAAATCTAATGGATATCATACAAAGACGTCTAAAAAGTGTTATAGGTGAAGTGACTCTATTTAATTATTAACAAATCATAGCCAGATAAAATTGGTGAAATTGAGTACCAGTGGTTTGTCTAGATTGGTGCAATATTGTGTAGTGTATGGTTATGGTTACATAGGACTCAACAATGACGAAGTAAAAATCTGAAGTTCAATTCCCATCACCTGATATTTATAATGTAATAATACATTGGGTAGACAATTTGGACATTGGGTAGACAATTTGGAATCATGAAGAGTCAGATTCAAAAATAGTTGCTTGTTATGTAAAATTGGCTGCTTGTCCGGAGCCTAGTTCAGGTTGCAAATAAGAAACAGCATATACAAAATGCAATAAATGAAAAATGTAGGTAGGATATAACAATTTTTTCTTTTGCAGTCCTTCTTGTTTCATTATTTTGTTATAATTACCGTATATTGGATTATACGGTATATTAATTCAAGTGATGAAATTCAATTTTTTATCAAAAATATTTGCTTTTTGATTGGTTGAATTATGACTAATGAACTTCATTTTCACTGACAAGATTGCCGATCTTCTTTTTGCAAAGTATCACTTTTACAGAGCCTGGAACCCACCTATGCTTGGTGCTCTACCTGATGACTTTCTCCGAATATTACCGCAGCAATTCTTGGATCCCTCATCGTCAAAAGAAAAATCTAAAGTAAGTTCAGTTTTATATCACAGATTGTACGTAAGTCGTATAACGTTCTTGAAATTCCAATGGATTCTCCAATTCTTGATCCAAAATTCATAATCTGGGGCTGGGTTACTTGGAAACCTAAATAAAAACTAGCAAAAAAAGGTCGAAACTACAAAAAAAAAAACAAGTCAATATTTACAATTATAGTTGAAAATTTGCCTTCGTGAAAAGATGTCCAGAAGGCTGCTTTAATTTCAATTGTTACATCACTGCTGACTTCTTTATTAGGCATTGTAACAGAAATAAACTAAGAAGTCAATTTAGAGAAATATCAATATGAATCATTCTTGCAAAAAAATGAAAATAAGTCAAATTCAGTATTCTATATCAGAAAACTATTTGCATTTTGTTCCAGAAAATTTCCTCTGGATCAAAGAAACGTACTCCACCAACGAGTAGTAACTCAGGACATAGAAGTGTAGATCCAGTATTCTCTCATCGATCGACTCATTCTGGAGATCGAGAACTTTCTACTCGTCATGAGAAATATACTCCACCCATACTCAATAACCCAGCATCGACTACTCCATTGAGCCATCATTCTCCAAGTATTAATAACGAGTCTACTGATGAAGACCTAACCCCGCCTCCTCGCCCTCCAAGGACTATCCAACCTAGAAGGTTGCCTCAATATAATGAACGAGACCGGAATTTACCTCTTCATTCTGATTCGATTGTACCAGGGAACTTATCGATACGTCTTGCTTCTGAAAGTCGAGGTTTCCAACATCAGTCTATGGATCCTACTCTATCTAATGGACAAAGACAAAGGCATCATCATAGGAGTTCAAGGTAGGAAGACTTTTTATGTTTTATTGGTTATATATATTTATTTAAAACATAATTGCTAATAAATATTCAATTAATGAAAATCTCATTTTACACATAGTCAAAAATATCGTTTTTAAAATATTAATATGATATAAAAAGAAACTGCCTTTTTAAACAGTGCAGGCAATTGTGAATTGTTATTTCTTTTGATACTTGCCTACATATTCTATTCATATGAGTTTTTTTTGCTATTGTATAGAAAATGAAAATTTGATGTTGTATGCTATTGTAACTCCGATGTTGAAATGTCAATTCCTTCTTTTTTGTAATAATTTTATTGGACGTTATTCTAAAATTAGGGTATTGAAATGCCATTGCATTCATACTAAATTCTTCATACTAACCTTTATTACAATAATTTTAGAGGAGAAAGGATAAAATAAATAAAATTAAGGCTTTTGAATGACATTGTTCCTGACTTTTTTATCCTCTTTTTTTATTGATAGTTTATAATAATCTATTTTATTTATAAATCATGCTTCTTATAGTTTGATTTTGATTCAATAAAATATTTTCATATTTTCACACTCAAACACGTAATTGTTTGGGAAATTGATTTTAAACAGAATAATATAAATGATGTGCATTTCAAAGTAATTCATCTCGAATCAGGAAGTTTTGTAATTACCAGCTATAATTCACTTGATTCTTACATGATCATTCATTTTCAGATCAAACCATAGCAGATCACATAATAATTTGCCTCTACAACAAAATTTACCAAGTTATAATCAAACTACAAATTTGAATGGAAGCAATCATATAACGAGAAGAAGCAGTGATTTCACTTCTCGGAGGTGATTTTTTTGTTTTATTTTGATTTTTATTATTTTTTCACCTGTATTGATCTCATGTTAATTTCTTTATAGGTTTTAGGGTAATTTTATAATTGGACATTTTCGAAAAAATCATTGTTATTTGTTTGAGAATTTGCTCACAGCAAGGTGATTTACACTCAAATCGATGCTATTTGTTTAAGAATTTGCCTACAGCTAAGTCATACGCACTCACTCAGAAGTAATAAAAATTCATTTTGAAATCACTCAAATTACAAAGATATCGAAGCTATATAGATTTATGGTTAGGCAATTTGTGCCAGCGAATTCCATTTTATGCGAAATTTGATACAGTTTACATCAATACAATCAGTAAAACCACTACGAGGTTGTGAGTTCAAATTCTATATTTCAGTGGCTTTTTTAACTTTGTTTACCATTGATTGGCTTAAAAATAGACTATGCTTTCATAGTAGATGTGATAAACCGGATAAAAAATTTTGTCTGTAATTGTATAAAACTGTTTTATAGTTATGAAGTGTCCAGGATATTAGCAATAGTGAGTGAAATCATAGAATACATAAGTAAATATATCATAAAAGACATCAGTGAGGCATAGTTTTGGTTGCCGGTGTACCAGTATGTTGTACAATTTTTATGAACTAAAATATTAATTCCTAATTTTAAGGATTTTATAGATATTTCAATCCGATTTGCCATTGTGTTATTTATATTTGGTATTCTGATTTTATTTTGCATGGGCCACCTATAATATTTTGAGGTTAGGTTTAGCCTGAACTCAAATTAAAAGGTTGATTTTGTTTAAATTTGTTCTCTATTGGAATAATTAACGGTTAACATAAACTCTAGCCACATAACTAACGACTCTGTTTCTTGGAAAATACTCTTTTAACACCATTGTGTAATTAAAATTTTGATCAAAACAAGATCAAAAACTCAATTGAAGTTATATTTATCATTGTTTTTGTATTACTCTACTATCAGCAGCACTCTGAAACGATAATGTTTGAGTAATAATAATAAGCCTAAAATATTGTTTCCAGGTGACCAAGCTTATTTTATAGGCATATTTGATTATTTTCAATTTAATATCGTGCGCACAAAAGCACACATACACATTTATATGTGAAAATAAATTTCAGCTTTACACATACACATACATTAGATAAGTATTGCACAATAAAAACGAGTTTGAGTCCGTCGTACTCATCAGGAGAAGTGCAGTTCAATAATGCAATAAAATTATAATTTTAGACCATCTTAGTCAAGTAGAGTTTAGCTTGCATAATTATAGTTTTATATCATGCAAGGAAGTGGGACCTAATATTTCCTCAATTAATGAATTATATTCGTATCGAGCACATGAAGCTAAACCAGTATTTATGTTACGGAGATGTCCATAATAAATAGATTCAAAATTGCTTATGGTATATACGATAGTAAATTCCTCTCTTTAGGATTTATTTAGAATTTTGTCTAAAATTTTTCATTTTCATAAGCATTTGATATGTGATGATCAGACTAAAGATGATCGACTGACCCTGTAGAGTGTAGGCTATAAAATAAATAAAAGGAAAAATGCAATCTCCAGCACAACTATTGTATTTATGTATGGTAATTAAACATGAAAGCAGAGACAGGTGTATAATCTGGCATCCTGCATTACCGGTACTAAATTCAACTTTAACGAGTTTACAATGATTTCTGCCATTTCTTCGTTCAACATAAACCGATGTAAAATATGTCAGAAATTTCCAACTTGTATTTATTTCGGAGACTATTCTTTATAGACTTTTAGTAATGTACCGGTATTCGTTTTTAGTTATCAACTTATCATTGATATGTCTACACCCCTGCTCTATTTTATACACATGTTCAAAAACTTTCAATTTTTCAATGGCCAAGAGAATTCATTTATACCATAATATTATATAGTCTGTTGGCCCCTACAGGTGTAATAAATGAAGTAAAAAAACTTTAATAAACACTAATTAGGTACATTAAAAAATGATTATTAATAATATTGAGAAGTGAATTCATAACAAAATTGAAAATCGTGATGGTACTTTACTAACACCTTGTGTAGCGAGTTTGCATTTATAAGTAATAGTTATGTCTCTATTAATTAACTATATGGGCCTATAACTTTAAGCATATTGACGATATATGACGTTTTACAATTTTTTCTTTTGTTTCCGCAGTAATTACTGGATCACATTTAAAATAGAAGGTAATATTATGATGTTCTTCAGCAGTCAGCATATCAGCGCAATAGTATCCAATTAGCAAATGCCACATTTCAAAGTAATATTGAGAAAATACCATTTTTGTGGTGACCGTACATTTGAACCCACGTACATTTGAACCCATGCGTATATCCGCGGGTTCAATCTATATGCGGTTGCTAAAACCCATGGGTTAGGGTGAGTATGGGTTCCAATATCCGTAAAACAAAAAAATTTCCATATGTGCAATAGTATGCAGGTGTAATTGTCATGGGTTCAAATGTTCAAGGGTTCAAATGTAATGGAACCCATTTTTGTAATTGTTTGATTTTAACATCACATAACATAAACATAAGAACATAAATTAATCAAAACAAGTGTTTGATAAGCTTCGAAGCTCAGACATAATAAGTTACTCTGGTTTTCTTTTGGAGACATGATTAAATTTCTCAAACTATGTCAAATTGTTGGCAAGATCGCTTAACAATCATAATATTTCATTTCAAAGAATGCTAATTACTTTATGATCGGTCAAGTATGAGTCATTGATGTTGTAACTCACCAATGTGTGGCTCATCATAACATCATGCTTGAGAAGAAATACCTAATATTATTTGCTTAAGAAGCCTTATATTGACAATTGTGTAACTCTGACTCCACTTCCTGATTTATATACATACTTGGATTAGTCATTCACATTCGTAGCTATTTTGTATACCCTTGATCTTTTCTGAGTACATACTAATGCTTTGTTTGCCTTTTTTGTGTTTGATCATATTATATTTGCTAGTTTCCATCATTGAATTGTCATTAAATTCAAACATTCCTGAGATTTTTAAATTTAGTAGTTTCCTCCTGGGTTAAGTTATCTTAAATTTTTTTTTATAAAATAATTGCTTATTAATACCATTATGGTCTGATTTAATACACAAGAGAAAAATAAAATTACAAACAGAACTTATATTTCCATCTTCGTCCAATTTTATGCTGAAACTGTACTGCTAGGATTTGAAACATGTCCAATCCAATTATTAAATTATAGGTTAGCCTTATGTTTATTTCTATCTTAATATAAATTCATAGTCACTGTCATAATCTATGTAACATTAAGTGTGATATCGTTACTAATAACTAGAATTTTGTGTTGGTCAGTGAATTCACAAATATATCCCAATATGCGTCAGCAGCCTGTAAAATGGGCGCTCCAGAAGTGTATGTACCAATATAATGGAGGTAACTTATTTTGTTCGCCTACTTTACATCAAGTTGTATAAAGGGACTGAAACCTATGGACAGGGCAAATATTCACTTGGCTAACACGGACAGTCCCCGAACTCGTAATAGAACTAAAATAAGGAAAATCGGAATAAAATTTTGGCCTAACCCTAACCTGGTACAGTGGTACATATGCTACAGGACTGAGAGTACCGTAAAATGAATGCAATACCGTAAAGTCATTATTGTTTGTTTTGTAAAGCTGTGGGTATGTCACTGTATGTTCGAGCTTTGCAATATTTTCAAGTTATGTTTTATGCTGCTACACAAACATAGCTATGAGAATTACTATCGAAAAATCAATATATGCCAGACATATAGACTATTCCTCCCCACAAACTCTTTTCTAGTTCAATAAATGAACAGAAAAGGAAGAAAATTGTTGAACTGTTTTCTCGCAAGCCTAAGAATCGATTGAGTAATTCAGGCAATTACAGGAATCAATAATCCAGCTTATCACTTCTTAGGCAACGTTTAGGCCATAAAAATTGTATTCAAAGTCAGAAAGGTCAAAGAACCATTACTTTTGCCTAATCCAATTAAATTTGTTTCATTATTAACAATGGGTCGTGCATTCCAAATAAGTTTTTGATAAATTGAACTCTGATTTTTTTATTTAAGACTAAATTTCCTTCCCGACATTTGCAATATTTCCAGTTCAAAAGCGATTTCAAAAAATCAGTTTTGGTAAAAAAAAATTAAATTTTTTTTTCTGGTAATCATCTTTATGCAATAATATTTTAAATTAATAATATTCAGTGATTCAGACAAAACTCTACCCATAGATTTATTTTGTTTTATTATACTCCACTCCTAAAGAAGTTAGCCTAAAATAGCTTTTTGTACTAGGCATAATCGTTGCGAAATCATTATTTGTGATGAATTTTACAGAATATTATAATATGATTCTACATACAAGCAAGCCGTAATTCTTGATATCGTTCTCGAGTTGATCCTTGTTTAGAATTCTAGACTTATCCAGTGGATTTGCTTGGTACATTTAGTCATAACTGCGCCCTAAATTTGTATGGGACCTCATCAACCCTTTTACTAGAGCGTATTAAATTGCCCATTGGGCATTGGAGCATGATGTATCTCTATTCAGAGCAAATGGATGGAGTGATCAAATTCAAAATTATAGTATCGTATAAAAATCAGAACACAAAGAATATGATTCTGATCTCACTGACTAGAAATAGCATTATTTCATGAGAAATTAAAAAAAAATTTAATTTGTGTAACCTATTTGACTGAAATAAGTGGAGTTAAATAGGGCTGAAAGAAATTTATATATTGCCTGTAACAAAAGCACCATTTTTTTTAATTCGATGAACGATCTTTTCACCAGACTGCATCTATTTCATTTTTATCAGTAATTTCCTAGACCCATGAAATACAATGTCATTTATCAAGAACTTGTATATTGTTAATAACATTTCAAATTTACTAGTTTACGAAAGCTGCTATATTATGGTGTTGAACAGTGAATACTATTTATCAAAGACAATCAGTATACATGGTACTGTTGGAGTCATTGCTTTTTATTTTGCATACTTTTTATTTTGTCATAAGTACGAAAATACGAATCAAAAATTAGTTATAATCGGGTAGTTCACCACACATTTCATATCCAAGGATTGCCATGGTATTTTAGAGTAGTAATGCCTTTTGGTTTTTCATAGGTCGACGCAACCATGAGTTAAAGCTCAGAAAATCGTTCAAACATTTTCATCGACGATGGCAAAAATTCGGAATTATTTTCAAAATTAGACAAAAAGTATTCGAATACTTCGATATTCGATTCGTTTCGGACAACTCTGATAACTATTACAAAAGAATATGAAGTTTAAGAGCCAGGAATATCCAAAGCCAGTATTAAGATTTTAAGAATAATTTAGAACAGTTTCTTTCGATATATTACCATTTCAAACAATTGAAAGTTTCACAGTTCAACCAATCAAAATCAATCAAATCATTGTTCATCTTAAATTCCCTGCATTTCTAAAGTCCAACTGATTGAATATACATTGTCTTATATGAGTTCTTTGTTGCACACGATCCAATCTTGAATATATAACAAATTTGAAAATATCATTCTAGAATGTATTTGAAGTAGTAGATTATATGAACATCAGAGATAAGAATCTTTCGCTGTGTTTTACTTGTAGAATATACGACTACCAGTAAATCATTTTTATTCCTTGTAATTTTTTAACTGTATGATGATTACATAATGTTTTGTTGCATGTTGCAAATCTGGTATAAGAGCATAAATTGTGATCTAGACCAATTAAATTGCTTGAAATAAACAAATTTTGCCAGTTATAAACTGACCCATTTATAATACAACTTAGGATATGAATTTGATTTTCTTATGGCGAGTGTATGTGTCTGTAATCTTGAACTTTGGAAGGTGGTGTGTACTTGTTGGAGTTGGTAGACTAATCTCAGATAAGAATCTTAGTATAGCTTATACTAAATAATTTATGAAATGTTAATATGCCAGACAGGATGTTATAATGTACTTATGAGTGATTAAAATGAGATACCATTGTGTGGTATTTTATTGGATTTGGAAAATATTTCTTTTCAAATACTTTAGTAGAAGATGATCCTAGGTTTTTAGAATTTATGGAAATTTTATTGGAAATTATTTAACGAGGCGATTCCCTAAAAACGGGCTTAAAACGGTGAATGCATAAAAATTTTGAATAATGTCACTTCGTTTCAGTGTGATTAAGATTATGCGCGTATGAGCGGACCTCTTAGTTTGGCAACTTTTTTTTTGTGTTTTGAATTCATTGCCATCATAGATTAAAATTCTGGTTTTATAAGTATGGTTTAAAAACAACTGCCAAGTCAATGTAAATTTGGCTGTATAGAATTAGATTGTGTTGAGTTTTTTCAGAAGCAAAGTAACTTCATACATACTACTTGGCTGAAGCTTTATTCAGAGCTATTTTATAAAATATAAAGTAAATTGATTGTAATTCAGTTTCAAAATTTTGTGTTGATTTTTTTTATATGACTGAGACGCTAGTTTTGGAAGAACCCATATATCTGCGGTTGATACACCCTAGGTGAGGTGGTCGGCATCAGAAAATACATTTTGTGGTGTACTTGTGACTGTGAGCATTCGCATCGTCAATTCACATTATAAAGTGCACTTTCCATGTAAAGATGAAAACAACCTGCCCATAACTAGTCAAATATTGAATTCACCAACATGCCACAAACTGCCATTTTCTGCTTTTATCTGACAAGCATAGAAAATTATAGCATGTTTGCACCAAATATATGTATAATGCTGATTAATTATTCATATAAACATGAAATATCATACAAGGAAATTTTTTGCAACATGCTTTGGTCTTAGATATTTGTCTTGTGCTACTATTTTTGTTATTACGTTTCTGGTTCAAGGAAATATTATGACAAAATATGTTGAAAATTTTTTTAGTGATCATTGAACAACAGTGCCAAATTCAATTTAAAGTTTGAAAATTTGAATACAACCAACCAGAGTTATTTAAATAGGCATTTTTAGGGAGCTACTTTTCCTAAATGACCTAAATTTTTCAGTTTGCCAATATTGCCTACCCAATTTATTTATTACCTTGGGCACTGTGCACACTTGCTTTTATTCTGTTTCTTTGCTATTTGAAAGTTTGAGCTAGTTCATACCAATAGTATTATACGAAACTGAAATTATTACCGCACCTTCGTGGATACTCGACCAAAACTTAGAAATGATTGTAGGTATCAAACATCTTATAGCATTGGCGCATCATGCTAAGCGTTAGAAACATGCTCATCAGCTCACATTCAATTACCCTCCGCGGGTTCAAATTCTATGGGAGATAAATATGTGCAATATGGGTGGTTGTTCACATAACCGCTACATCTAAAACGATTGAATAGTTTATTATTTTTATACCTAACTTGAAACATTGGTAATTACTCGAACGGTAAGGCCGTGGTTTGTTATACGATTATTAAGCCATTTATGGGTTTTTCCCTCCTTTGCATTAATATCAAAATCCTATTCTAATAAGATGCTTACTTTTATAATTCTTGTGATTTAAATGAGTCTCATCAGTACTATTATTAATTAATATTCTCATGCAGTACAATCATGATTCGATCATGCTGAAGCATAGACCATCTATGATACTTCACATAAAAAATTGACTTGATTTTAATTAATTTTATTCAGAATGGTAATGGTGTCACGAACTTCCGAGCCTGCGATATCGGTATCACATAATAACGGCAATCACAATGGTTTTCAATCTCCAATTAATAACGATAGACCTTCATCACATCGATCTTATCATAGATCATCATCAAATTCATTTTCAAGTAATCATCATCATCACCAAACATCATCTGGACATCATAGTCCAGTGTTTCAAAGGTAATTCTTCTTGATTGACTATGAAATTATAGTGATTTTTCATGATTTTATGCAATATGATTGTTGCCAGTTATTAATCTGCTTCAAATCAAACATGAGTGATTGTATATTGTGATGCCCGATGCCAATTGTTTATTCATTCATACTTGATTGTATTATCTCAATTTGATGGATTTTGTTTTTGCATCATTATTTATTATGCATCTCATGTTATTTAGTAAAGAATTACGGCCACTCAGCGTGTTTCTGAGACTTTTATTCACAATTCTACTCAACCAAATGCGGGGTGAAATTACATGTGATTGTTAATTTGTTCAATTATTCTTTATGAAATTGTAAAAACTTGATGTGGCAATGTCACCCTGCATATGAGTCATGAAGCAGGGTTTCCCAAACTGGCGTCTGCTGACCCCTGAGGGTCCGTGATGGCTGAAAGGAGTCTGATCAATCCCCAATGATTGTTTTCAATCAAAAAGCCTATGCAAGCCTATCCATCGCTGTCATTAATAACCCCCCTCGTTGGTTAGACATAGGAATTTATACGGAATAGATTGGGGGGGTCCACCGAAACTAAGATTCACTAATAGGGGTCGCGACCCTAAAAGTGTGGAAATAGGCATAGAGAATATTTTGTTATTTGACGGTTTGTTCAAACGACTTTCTCTGAGCGAAGATATGTAGGCCTACATTTCATTACTAGAAATAAATATGGTCTGTGCTTCAGCCGTGTCATCCCTTATATTTTTCTATTTAATAACATGATTGTTTTTGTATGCATATGAAGAGGAGGAAGTCCAGCTTTTATATCTTCTCAATCTCGTTCTGGAAGACCATCAAGTGCATCAAGGTTAGTTTACTTTTGTCTTTATTTCTGTAAAATGTTCCTATAGAACTGTCAGTTGGGGTGATATGTTAGACTAACTCTCCATCCATCTTCCTCTGTTAGTTTGCGTTAATGGATGCATTATAATGCAAGGATGCTGGTGCTGGAACAAGAATAAATATGCCTATACCGTGTAATTCAAGAGTCTTGCTGCACACTTACCGACTACCGTATATCTTTGCATATAAGCCGACCTCCGAAAAACGGCCCCAAAGCGGTGAATTTATAAAAATTTGCACATAAGCCGGTGCTTCAAATCGTAACACGTCATACGCACCCATTACAGCAAATGGTTGCAGAAGAGAATCAATGAAAATGATAACCATTATTATTATGTTTAACTTTTTAAAGTGTCTCAAAATCCTTTGAATTCATCCTCACTGTCGCTGTTGGAATTATTTATTACCATAATGTCATTTCGTTGAGTATGATAAGCAGACCTATTGGTTTGGCAACTTTTTTTTCAGTTTGAAACTCAGTTTCATGCGAGGATATTATATGGCAGGGCTTCCCAAACTTCTGAGCTCGCGGCCCCTTTTAAAATATTAAAATTTTTCGCGGCCCCTGTTCATGTTAATAATGCTTAACAGTTCAAAATATTTTATTGACACAGTCAATTCCCAACTTTTAGTAGGCCTACTCGATCAAAAATAAATAAATGTCATTTTTACTCCGATTAACACTACTGTACTTAATTATTCAGTGTGATAAGTGCAAAAGTTTTGCAGCAAGTCCAGCAGTGACGTAATGTTTGTCGATTGAAGGCCTCAATGATCCAATTTAGCATAAAGCAGCGGTTCGTGCGCGCCAAATTATCGGGTAAAACACTCACGGCACACCTACACAAAAATTTGACTAAAAAACAATTTTATTATCGTCAATGTGTACTTTATGCCTTTTAAAATTTATAAACAAGCAGTAGGCCTAAAGAATACAGGCAAAAAAATCAACTTCTCTTCCTTATCTCTGCCATGTTATTCCTTGAGAATCTAAAAAAATCACTCATGTTGTAGCAAGTAAGGTTTACCTCTACTGTTACGTAACAATAGACCCTACGTAACAGAAAGTGAACAATATAGAGCGGTGAAATGAAAGTATTGATTTATGTTATACATCATTTACAATGATGAGAAACAATAACACTTTTAGAATAAATAAAATATTTAATCGCGTCGTCGAGTGTGAGGATTTATATTATTGAAAGCCCTGTTTCATCCTTCTCAATATTTTCAAAGTTCTAGATCGAGACCTCGAACCGCTCATGAACAAGAACAATATGTTGAAGATCAAAAACTCGCTATTTTGTTGCAAAACGAAGAATTTATACGGGAATTGAAACGTAACGATGAATTTTTAAAAGCTTTGGAGAAAGGTAAATAAACTATTTAGGAAAATTCTTAGGCTATTTTAAAGAGAGACTGACTTTTCTAAACTCCATATTCAGTTTTGAGTAGACAATTTAGACAAAAAAATGTCGTTATTCAGTATGGAAATCATCTCTGGAAAAAATTTCAAATTAGAATATCATTTATTGTGAATTTTTGAAAAGATGTCGCTTTTTAGCTATGCTCAATTTATGACTTTTCTTGTTACCTGATGGTTGAAATGAAATAAACCATTTCAGGATTCATGTTAAAAATTTTGAATCTGGATAATTATCGCCAGTTTCTAAATTTGTAATCTTATAACAATACAGATATAACAATATAGAAACAATATAGATTGTATAAAATTATGATTTGTTGATATTTCTCAGATCGACCTAATAATATATCATCGATACCTACAACTCCAATCGCGGAAATAGCAGACAGGGTCAGTATATTAAAAACTTTTTTCAGGAAGTTTCTGATAGGACGAAATGTAGTTCAGAATAGGATTTTTTTTATGTTTATCTTGCAATTGTAGTAGATGATCTTGATCACCTGACGAACCATGGATTCAGATTCTGGGGTAGTCCCAAGAGCCATCTAGTCTTCAGTCCATCTATGAGCACTTATGTTAGCGTTTATATGGTGCTAAGATTTAATCCTTTCTTTGACCTTATGATAAATGTATATCTGCCTTCACGGCCGAGCACTGCCCTCGAAATACACTGAAATTACCACTTCGTAGCGAATTTTTTTTTTGTGATTTGAATGTTTATGTCGGAGCAGCTAGATGCCATATTTCCAGACGTGTGAACGAACAGCTTTCCAACGAGGTACGCTCATAAGCAATATGCTCCCGCTGTATACCAGCTTAGATAAATTTTGTCCATGCAGTATTTCCCCAATTTTCCCTTTTTTCAATATTAACGTCCCTGTTCTGGCATTAATCAATCTATCGGTTCCATTACATTTGAACCCACGACAATTGCACCTGCATACTATTTATTGCACCTCTTGAAATTTTTTTTGAACTGATATTTGAACAAATACTAACCCTAACCCATGGATTTTAGCACCCGCATATAGATTGAACCCGTGGATATACGCATGGGTTCAAATGTTCGGTCACTCTATCACTTCAGATGTATGAATTCTTGTACTGGAGGAATCCGTGAAAAACCCTGCACCAGCAATCCATTCTTACATAATCAACCTGTGGCACAGAATTTGAATCTATGAATCACATTGGTCAAGTAATCAATGGTGTGATGTCATGCCTACTATACATCTTAGCATAATATATCTCTTGTTATTTACACATCTAAAAATACTTGGTATTTATCAGAATAAATTTTCCATTTCCAGGATATTGTACCATTACCAGATCCTGATGCGAAATATACGCACGGATCACAAAATCCTTCTGTTCTAAAAAGAGTGGGAATGGATGATCCAGGTCAGTGTCCTTGTGTTTTTCTATTTATTCTTTTGAACAAGGTTTCTTTAAATAAACCTTTAAACTCTTTCTTAGTTAAATGGAAATCAAATTTCTCAATTCTGGACCCTCTATTGGGCATTGAACAATAGTTTTTTTTCTATGTTTTTATGTGGTGAACTTCAAGTAGGAAATTTGATTTGTCTCTGTGTCTGTATTCCTCATACTTGTCTCATATGTCCCAGTTTATGATTTTATCATTCTATTTTACACAGAAAAAGAAGATGAAAAAATGTTCAAAGAAAACCTTAAACATATGGGAAAATGTAAGTATTTTTTATATACTGTACATAGTAGTTGTCTTTTTTAATTTTTATTTGTAGAGTCACACTTTATTGGTAAGGTGCTTTACAATTTTCGGGTCTCCTGAAGTACGCGCCCTCAATTACTTCTAGTGGGTGTAGCATAACGATTTTTGCTTATAATATTCCCAACTCCCACCTGAGTACGTCGCCCAAAAATTACAATCGCGTCATAGAGCTTGCTAAAGTATAGCTACGATCGTGTGAAATGACATCTGTGCAGACTCTAATGAACTCACTAACACCACGATCTCTATCTTATCGGTATCGTTACGATGAGAAAACTAGAGAAATAGCTTGCTCGATTTTGGATGATTGTCTGCGCTTTTAGACGACCATTAGGAATGACATATTTTGTTATATATGCTTTTCAGCTGCCAGAAAAAAATTCAATGAAATTGCAAAGAAATTTTCAGTAAAGAGGAAAACTAGTTATAAATCAATGAAGAACATAGATCCTGTTTTTGCAAACTGTAAGTTAATATAAAATAGAAAACTAAAAAACCATTATTATTTCAAATTAGAAAAAAATTAGATAGGAATATTGCTTACTTGTTTAGTACTAAAGCGTATTGTATTTGTATATCTTTCTTGAATGTCTATTTTGGTGAATGTCTTGGAACTTTTTTCTAACTCTCTAACATTTTTTAACTCTTTAACAATATACCTCGGTAGTCGAACAACCTGATACCTGAACAATTTGGTAGTCATTCCAAAAATTCTAATTCAAAATGCTGTGGCACTCGAATTGGAATTCTGTGCTTGAAACGTGCTGTCGAGTGAGATGACTTCAGTCGAACCGTGCATCTTGATCGCCTCCTGACCAACTTTAATGTATGAACAAAAAGAGAGGTCAAAAGGAAGCAGTATGGGTATACAATCTGTCACAGTAAACTACCGGTACAGCAATACTGGCACAGAAAAAAACGAATTTCATAAAACCCACATGAAATTTGCTCAAACGTACAGTATTTTTGTAAAGTAATCATTGTTTTGAACACATTTGAATAATTGATGTTGTTCAGGTACACATTTTCTTAATATTCTGGGTATTTTGCAAAAAATATTTCAGTACTCGAACAAATCGTCCTGAATCAATTATGTTCGACTACCGAGGCATCACTGCATTCAAATATATGTTTTGGGCTTACGTAACTCATGTAACAGAATATCTCTATTTATATTCACAGGTGACGATAATTTTGATGAAGTACCAGGACCTGTCCCACGTTCCCCTGTGTTCGACCTATAATAATTCACTCAACTATCTTTGTGATTTATTTTCTAAATGTTTATTTTAAATCGTCTACAGCTGCTCAGGTCATCGGTTAACTTTTCAATTTTGCTTTTTTTTATAGTATCAAGCTTGCAATATTATTATATTGATACGCTAATATTAATTACCATAAGTACATTTGATATTGGACTTTTAAGGACAAATCAGCAGCCTAGATCCTACTCTTTTGGCCACCACACGCGTCAGATATTTACCACGAGCGACTAAAAATCAAATTGAAGTAATAATACTTAAATTGTGCTTGTTATGTATTCCACCATTTTCTCTATATTTTTTTCAAAATGGGTTGTTGTCATATCTTTTTACAAATCAAGAGAGCAATGCTGAAATCAACAACAGAAAATTTGTGTATAGGCGTTTTTTTAGGACCTGCAAGTTTGGGGTAAAATACTGGCCCCGGGTAGAATATGGAACAGAATATACAGCGTGGTCAAAAAATCCTGTTGCAATTCAAAATCGATTCTTAATATATTTAAACCAGGTTTGTTTGAGAGATGCTTCCATCGAAATTTTGAATTCTTTAAGCCTATGGTTTAATTGAAAAGTTTTTTTGTCTCCAAAGCAACAACATGACTGACTACAATTTAGCAAAGGAATTCAGAAGTCCTTTTATGTTTATTGGTGTTTACTAATACCTGCTATTATTTTGATTAAGCTATCCTTTTTTGCTCGAGTGAAGTTACAAATCCCTATTACCATCGTGCTTTATGATTTGTGTTGTTTTCTGCAAATATATCTTTATGTTTACCGTCCAATAGTAATCCTGTTGAATTTTTTATGGCTGTGTTAGAAAGCAATTGAATATAAGAGTTTGAACTGTGTTTCAAAAATAATATCAGAAATACCCATGTAAGATTATTCATCTGTTTGCAAAGAAAAGCAATTAAAAAGTGTTGAGTTTAGTCGTCATCATAATAACATATAATGATTTTCCTTCAATTTATTTTTTAATTTTTGCTTGCCAAACCATGAAAGTTTCTTTATGAATTAAGTATCATCTGATGCCTCATTTGAAATTATCATCTTTATTCTTATATCAATACCATATATTAAGTACAGTTGCTACATTTTCATATACTTGACAGAGGACTTAAAAATGTAAACCTATATAAATCTTGTGCTATCGATTGGGTTTCTACGAGACTAACTACTTCTCCGTCTTCTATACTTTTGCGGAGGTGGATTCGTATGCATATAATGCAAGGATGCTGTAGCAAGTGTGAAGATAACTTTCCTAAGTGATTCAAGAGTCTTGCTGCACACTAACACAAATCTATTTTTGTAACATTTCGTCTAACCAAGGTCAGACAAAACGTTACAGAAATATATTTGTGTTAGTATGCAGCAAGACTATTGAATCACTTGGAATATATAAATCTGTTTCATTTAATGCAAGCTGTAGCGTGGAATTTTGTAATATTGCTCATGGCTTTTAATAGGCTCTTCCAACATACATTTACATCTGAATGTATCTTCTCTCTGGGACAACCCAAAGCACCTGTTTGTGTTGTCATCCTGACACGATTACAGCTACGCTATTGACCTGCGCCAAGAAGATATGAACCAAATTAAATGTATATTGTATAATGTAGTAATGCAAGTTCGAAAAAAAACGCTTTTAGGTTCGAAAAAAAAGTCATTTTAGGTGAAATACAATTTGTTGAATCCATGAAAAATATGCTGTTATTAAATTATTTTCATTCCCTGGTGAAACCTTCGATAACAATGTGAAATGATAAAAGATTGCTCATTTCTATCCTATTACTAAAATTCAACAAAGTCTGATTTTTACTTCGATGTAAATAAATCCTGATATATCTTGCATCTGAAAATGCAACATTGCTATCCTATTAACCTTATAAAGATTATTTTGTATCTTGACAGTGCTGGGTATAGGACCCCAATCAAATGAAAAATTTTTATAAGGAACTATCCAAGATACTATTTCATTTATCCTTTGTATTGTACAACAGGAATTCTGATGTAATGACGATTACAAATAAACATTTTAAATAATCAAAGCATTGATATATCCACTTATTTTGCTGCATTTTGAATTATTGCCATAAATACCCTCGTTTGATTAAGACTAATTACCTCTGACAAAATTACATCCATTAAATGTGGGAAGAGATTTTTTATCACTACTAATAGCGATGTTAGTAATTTGTGGGAGATTTGTTTAAATGTGTTCTTCTGATCATTATTTAACCAGAAAATATATGGAATATTTCTGAAGAATGTAATTTTAACATTATGGTTCTTCATAGTCCATATATTCTGACTTTGAATCTCAATATGATGCCAATATTTGTCATAGTGGTTCTAAAAATTTCTATGTCACTACGATACCATTACACCAGGCTTAGTCTACTGCAAGAGCGAAGCCAGCCTAAAATTTGGGGGTTAGCCAAATTTATTTATTTTTTTGTATAATGATGTAATACGGCTCTCGTGACTTTTGCTCTGAACAAAGCCAGGTAAAAGTAGCCATTGATATCTAGAATATCTTAGAGAATCGCTCTATAGACGTTGCTGTCGAAGTTATGACCGTGAAATTGCATTTGAAAAATGGTAAATTTTTTTTTGGGGGGGGGGGACCATGGCCCCTCAGCCCCCCTGGCTATGCCTATGCTCTACTGTTATTTTGGCAGCATGGTATGTGCATAAAGCGTTTGCTTAGAAATATGTTTCTAGATTTTTTGTCCCATTATGCATTTACACTTATAAGTGATTAATTATTGCCCGGTATACAACTCATCGTACTATTATGGTGTTTGAAAGGTACCTAATTTAATGTTGAACATAAAACTAGTTTACATTGTTTGATGAAATTACTATTTCTGTATTCTTGTTAAATATTATATCATGTTAATAATTTCGTAATAATATTAATATGGCACATAAATTTTGCTCTTCGTTGCTACGTTTTTTTTTTACTATTTTCTTAATTTTTATTTTGTTCCATACGATAAGATTGCTAGTCAAAAGCGTGCTTTGCTCATTGAAAAAAATTGTAAAGTCGGCTCTGTATATTTCAGGAATGTTTTTGATAGACAAATTTGTTGTTATTTTCGTACTGTGTTAGTTATTTTCTCACAGTTGTAAATATCTCAATAAAATGCCAGTGGAATGTTCAGTTTTGTCTATTTTATTTTTATCTGTAAGGTTTTAATGAAGAGAGGTGTGAAGTGAGTAACTCCTGGTTACATATCGCGCATTTGCGGAATATTTTTAATGGAAAAGAAGTTTATGGAGAAAAATTTTTGGGTTCCCTTGAATTGGGTGAACAGTTGTTAAGATTATAACGTTTCTGAGGTAGGCTCTGTATGGGGTCCTCTGTGTGCACTTGAAAATTGCTATGTGGTTTCATGAGGATTTCTTTAGATGGCGAACGTGGCTGATGATATTTTTATAAACAGTTTCCACTTCGAACAAGGCTCTGTTCCAGCAGCCACTTATTGGGGTTGGCTGAAATCTTTCTGGTTCGACCTCCCCGCTGTATTACCACATTAGTCAGGTGATGGGTATTGGATTTGAACTTCGTTAACCTGCAACGTTCAATGCTCTAACGACGGACTTGACATACCTTCAACCAGTTATTACTCTGGTTACAAAACATTTAAGTGAGAGAGGTCTTTTTGTCAATAATAACTTGACTCGGCGGTGTGGTGCATCGTGCTAAGCGTCAGGAATACGCCCGTCGGCAGTGGCGTAGCATCAACCCCCGCGGTCGCGGGAGGGCCCACAGTGCAAAGGAGCCCAAGCGGTTAGAATTTAGAAATTCAAGCCGCAAAACAAGTAATGCACATCTTATAACGTTGATGTTAGTTGTGCTCAAATCGTTTTGTTACGTAACAATGCCATGGAGTCGTCCATTTTCGGCGTATTGTGGTTTGATCGCACCGGCAAAATTACGAAGGCTGTCAGAATGAAAGCAAAACCTCTCAGTGGCGCACAGAAACGCAGAAAAAGGGCAGAAGAGGAAGATCGTATGAAAAAATTAAGGTAACCAAGATGAACGGCAAATTTTAGGTTACAATTGCCTTTTTATATAGCGACATGTTATGCTTTTTGACGAAATAAAAAAAAAGCGTTGTTTTAGCTCATGTCCGAGAGTTTTTAGGGTCATTTCCACGAAATATTTTTGCGGGGGGGGGGGGGGGGGGGGGCACGAGAGTCTTGCTACGCCACTGTCTATTTGCACCCGTTAACGTTTACAACCATGGATACCAGTCTTTGGAGTAAAAGAGGTTTTATCGACATTTTCGCCGAAACACGGGCTTCCTAATGTTATGAATAGTATTGAAGACGAACTCCAACTCCAACGCGATTATTTAGATTTTCATCCATTAACTCAGATGTAAAAACGGTTTACCACTGACGTTATTAACTTATCTAAGACCAGTTTTTATTGCCATCGTCTACTAACCACCACAAATTCGACTAGGTTTGCGTTATTTTATTGACAGAAAATGGATGAAAAAGTGGGATAGGATTATATATAACTCGCAATGACTGTAAAAGCGTAGCGGCCCTCACACTGAACACATGCTAATTAAAATTGCATATGCGTGAAAATGCGCAAATGAATGGGTGCAACAGTATGCAAGTGCGAATGTCTCGGGTGCAGTTTACAGGTGCAAATGTGCTGTCACCACCGCGCCTCTGATTACCGTACCCTGCGTGGGTTCGAATCCCACGGGGGATAAATATGTGCAAGAGGATTCCTGGGCTTCTCACCGCCGTAGGGTGGTTCACTTAACCGGTGGTCGGGTACGGCTTCCTTCACCATCAAGTGCATCCGGAATAAATAACTGGCCAACAGATTCCATGCCCGATATGGCCTTATGACTAATCTGACAAGAGGCAGTTTTACGCCATACCATATGGTAGGCTTTTCCTCAGAAGATTTAAATATGAAAATCCTAAATATGCGCAACAATTACGTGCTGTGCTCACTGCTGCCATAGATCCTTACAGCCACCTCAACCATCCGGGCCGCTGACTAACACACTGTCATGCACTGTTGATTGGACAAAAAGCCGCGATGCACCATATCAGACCATCTTTCCTAAAAATCCGGTCCTATATTTTCGCTTGCGGTAAAACACTGCCTGCCTGCGGAAATTTTCTCAGACCCAAAATAAGCAACTGTTATTTTAAGGATAGTAATGTATTTATGATTACGGTGTAAGTGGAACACTGATGTGAACAAAGACCTGAATTTCTTGACAAAAAACGAAAAAAAAAATAAGTGTGAGAAGGCTGATTAAGTAGGTAAAACAAGACCACAGAATCCCCTCGAGCATGCGAAATGAAAAATATTTGGAAACTTTTAGTGGTTGTGCCATATTAGAAACACTGTGACAAAGTTCGATTATACCTGTGCTTACAAGTTGATATTGATATTTTGATTGGCTGACACATTGAGTTTATTTTTTGGCCAGTGAATGATTATTTAAACAAATCTAAACTAATCAGTATGGATGTGTTTTTTGATAGCAAATTCAGTTTCGCAATGTTGTTGGTGTAAATGGCTATCTTTGGACACTTAAGTTGCGCAACTATTCAATGACACCCAACTATCTAATAAGACCCAAGAGCCAATTTAAATACCAGGTTATTTTCGAACACTGATGGGATTTTTTTGAATAAATCTCAGTATTATGTTCTTGTCTTATAATGAAAATTTTTTTAGCAATCAATCAGCAATGTATATTTTGTTTCTGATTTAAGTTTATTATTTTTTCACCCCCTTCTTGGCAGTTTTATTTTACACTGTAACCATCGGAAAGTTTTAGGAATGAAATGTATAGTTAATCTCACTTCGAATGCAAGTGTAGATTTTAATTCACAATTGCATGAAAGGCTTTATTTTTTGACAAAAAGTAAAGCATGTTGAAAGCAGGTAATTAAAAGCTTGTGTGTTCATTTAAAACAAATTTAAAATCCACCAATAGCGACTAAATGTTATGATTGTTTACTTGTGAAAGCATACTTCTCCTTATTTATACATGTGAATGACATCAAAGAAGCAACATTTGTTTGGGTGATTATCACTTTTGGTAGGCATTATGAATAAGCTACTTTTTGTATTGGTTTAAATGTTGTGATCTATTGAATAAACGAGTATACCGGTTGCCCACCTCAATAAAAAAATCATATTTGAACTCACTCTCAGTCTATGTATATGAGAGTTGTCACATTTGGCAAATATAATTCTTAACAACAAAAGCTATAGGTTGTCTACAAACTGGACATGTTTTTCCTCTCTTTTTCAATTTCTTCGCACATCTGTAGCAACAATACTGATGACCTAAGTTCCTGGAGAAAAAAAATAACGTAAAGTTAAAAAAGCACATATAATAGTATGTGCCGAAATATTAAAACACATTGGCAAAACTGGTTCAGCTAAGCAGAATATAATATAAACTAACTTAGGATAGGATGTACATATTTATCCTAGGTCAGAGGAAAACCGATGATATTGCTTAATCTTATGACGAACTCTGACCGCTTATCCGGTTACCAGTCCATGTCAGGTATCGGATTAGTCAGCCAGTTATTTTTTTTCAGATGCATGGACTTGATATTAAAAAAAAGTATACCGCAACACTTGACTGTGATAGGAAGCATAAGCAGCAGCATATGTGCCATCGCAGCACTGATAATGTGATCATGGTTTTACCCAATACTATCGAGGGTAATTGTCAAAACTGCAGATACTTCAAGTAAATGTGAGGTGGATAAATTTGACATTTTAATAACGAAGACCAATAGAATTATCAAGCACCAGTACAAACAATCTGCCAACCGCCATGTTGAAAATCATTTTTCATCAACGCCTCAATTACACCTTTCAAATGATTCTTATAATAAAACATTTTCCTTACCCATGAACAATAGTCGCGTCGTTAGGATTATTATGGCAAATATTACACAATCCTGGAACAGATATAGAATACTGAGGATGAGAATTTGATGTCGACGAAGATTGGTTTTCACGCAGCGTGGATGAGTCAGAAGAAGTCAAGTTCGGCGACACAGAGTTGGCTTTCTTAAAAACTGTGTTTATATCTAAATCCTTGGACGTTGAAGCCCCATGGTCAGTAGATGAAGGTAATAATGAGTTTGGTAAATTGGATGCTGTTGTTATTTTTAACTTTGATAAAGGCGGGGAATTCAATTCGTCTTGGGAATCATCCAGTTTTCTTTTGTTGCTGTTATTAAAGGGCAGTTCATTGAAATTGCTGGAATTCGAATTTTCCCTGTTTGGCTGTGAGCATGATCCACCTAGAACAAGAAAAAATTGATGAAAATATTGATTCTTGGAAAAGCTACCCTCCACATTCACTATAATTAATGAGAAAATTCATGATTAAGTCAAAAAAATTATGATAAAAATAGGTGCTTGCCGAAATTTTAGTGGTAATTTCTGAGTGGTTTATCATTTTAATAATAAAGTGGTAAAGTATCTACTACACAAATTTTTTTTTTTTCCTTCTTCCTTGTAGTTTTTACCTTGCATGAGAAAATTTATGGGCCACAGGATTTTTCATGCAACAAAAGTGGGCCATAAAGGAAAAAAGGTTGAGAACCACTCAACTAGACCAATGATGGTAGGTAAATTCAACTATGATTAGGTCTTGAGTTTTCCATTTATCAGATTCTAAGGGATTCAAGAGTGTTGATAGGTATTTGTCTGTCTGTGTGTATGTCTGTTAGATGCACGCGATATCTCACGAAAGCGAGATTGAATCTGCTCAAGATTTTGCATGTGCATTCATCTTATCTCGGACCAGAAGCCTATTGATTTTGGGCGAATTATGTCGTATAATTAGCGAGTTAATAATTAATTAGTGATGGGACACAAGGTGTCACTATGGAGTAAGAGCGCTGTTTTGGGGGATCCCCTAACTTTCGATCGATAAGTCTTCGGTCTCTGACCGATATTCTCGTTTTAATCATTTGTTCAAATACATACCTGAATTCGATTTCCCATCTGCGACATCATAGCCAGCAGTAATCGGATTAGGTTGAGTATATGAACGTGATACTGAAGGTAGAAATGCTGAAATTGACAAAACATGAGTGTGAGTTGAAACCATACAATACAAAAAAAATAAAAATTGTTATCCTTGTAAGAATAGATAGAATATTTATGCAAATGACTATTTGTGAAAAAACAATATGTAAAATGAATCAAAGAAAATTCTATATTTAAGATAAAATTATGGCATATGACAAATCGATGCCACATGAATAACGATTACGCTGAATAATCGAACAGGGAACTGAATCTAAAATGTAATTTAGATAATAATTCAAGTATAACAAACTAACAATCCGTTTGAGTCACTATATCCGCAGTTTAAATGTAATCGGTAGAGCTAGGTAACTAACTGTTGTAAAATATTACGTTCACATTCAAATAATTTGGTATTTTCAAATTATGTATTAAAAAATTTCTACCTCGATCTAAATTCTCTCAAACAAAATTTTCAATTTTTAGAATTCAAATCCAAGCAGATGAAAGAGCTACAAACACATTTGGGAATTCCTACTTACTTTCAGAAAACTCCCCGGCTGGGAGTGTGAAACTCTTGGTGAGAATTGGACTGTAAAAATAACCGAATTTGCTTAGCTCACATTGTATTCAAAAGGTTTATCATCAAAATATGATTATATGGTTGCGTGAGAGACTTACTAACTCATAAGCACAACACAGCTGACTATTTTTTTAGAGTAATTACTAATGCTTTCACTTCAGTTTCATTATTCTGAAAAAGATGCTCAAAATATATCTTGAACGTTTTTGAGGGAGATTCTGAAATTTAATATTGGAATAAGTAATCTAATAACCAAGTTCTAGAACAGGGGAGTGCAAAATTTGTCTGCGGACCATATAACCAACTTGGCAACTTCAGACATCTAGCTGGACCACACAAAAAAATTAGTTTTGTTTTATGTAAACAACAAATTAAAAAAGTCCCACAATGCAAATATTAGTTATTTAACATTTTAGTGGAACAATTAAAATTTCAAGTTTCATCATCAGCTGTCAATCATAAACTGACGGATTAGGATTTCATGCTTGATGGAGAAAAATGTTTCTAGAAGGGTCACACTAAATGGCTTGGCGGGCCGGGTTGTGGCCGCGTATCGCATGTTGCACACCCCTGGCCTAGAAGAAACATGATAATTCTAAAAAAGACAGCTTGCATGGTACATTTAAACTAGTAGGGAAAAGTAGATAACGGTTAAAGGGCTATTCTGCTCAACAAGATGAATATATTTAACTTTATTCTAGACAGTTGCTACCAACGCTAAAAATATCATATATGGAAAAATCTTTCATACCTGGGTAATTCTGTATCAGGTAGCCAACCTTTTCTTAACTTCCAGCACCTCTGGCAATATCCTACAGTAGGTGGATTTACTGTTGTGCATTCTGTGCATTTCCAATGATCCTAGATAAAATATTATTGAAACAGACTCTGATGGACGCAGTAGCCTTTAATAAACTATAGAATATGAGAAGACGTTTATACTAGAGTGTAAAATGAATGTGTTAGTTATTGTGCACAAAAACCACACGTGTGACATGCAGTTTTAGGGTTAAAAATTATATTTTGTTAAAACACAGTATTGAATTAATAAATAAGAAAATGCGTCTTTTGGCACATTATATTCCTACTGTCTCAATCATTCCTCAGCAAGTTAATTGTTGGTCTTCAACCTGGCCCAATTTCAATGAGTTTAATAAAACCATTTTTGGAGATCAGATTAACTAATTGTGAAATTACTTACAAACAAATTTCATTTTTGTACTTTTCAAAACTGGGAATTTGAGATCTTAAATACTGCTGCTGTTACCGTATATTTCGCAATAACAGGCATTATATCCAACCACTGACTCTCTTATAATTTCTAATCATGAAGATATGGACAAATCATTTCGAATTGGGCATTAATTGTTAAGGATTTGAACATGCACAAGTACATGCACATTCTTTATCCTTCTATTATTCATACTTCCAAAGGGATGTCGAAATCCATGCTCACATCGGTTGTGTCGGTTGTTGTTGTGTCATCACAATCAGTTATTCTTGGCAAAGGAGCAGGCATGAATGGCTGTAAAATAAAGAGTGACAATGATTGTTTGTGAGTTGTCGCTCCGAAAGTAAACAAGGTACTAGACAAGTAGAATAACTATGTTTTGGAGGAACCAATTCAACATAGCTAGTACATTACTTACAAGATGGTAGGTATGGGATTGGAAGGAAAAGCTTAAACATACAATACCGACAGTTAGGCATAACATACTAATAATAAGAAGGTAGAATTAGTGACTCATCACGGGAACCTCCCAGTATGTGTACCAAGATGGCGCACAACCTGAACATAGTAGTTGTATCAGGTTGGGGTTCAGGTTGTGCGCCATCTTGGTGCACATACTTCGGGAGCGCTCATCACTGGGTTCAGGCACAATCTTCAACTTCCCCCCAGCTCTCGAAATTTTCAGAAGATCAATGAGGCCTTCTCACAAGAATTATTTTGTTGAAATACCAAATGGGATATCGTTACTCAGATCGTAAACATTTTTAAGTTGCTAGGCTATATTCCCATAAAATCTCGCCATCTCAGAAATATATGTTTGCAGCCACTTAACATAAAATATACCTAATATGTCTTATAAGAAAGTCATTTATGCTCAATTTTAGTTTTGAATATATAAATATTACCTCATCATCTTCATCTGAGTAGAAAGGTTCTGTAGCATCAGAATCTTCAGATTCAGAATCAGGTTCGTATTCAAGTGAAAATCTATCTTCATTGTCAACTAGAATATACAAGAAAAGATTTACGAAATTGAATTTAATACATGAAATATGGAATTAGTGATCAATTCTAATTTCTAATATATTGAGACTACAAGTCGGTAGGCACCCAGGATCTATGCTGATACATTCAGATTGCGCCTATAACGACAGCATACTGCAGTGACCAAGATACTGGAACTGCCAGTTCATTAAGAGCGCTGTGCGTCTCGTCTGTATCCTTTTCATGAGCAGTATACTGCGACAAAAATTAACGATGCTAAAATTCCTAAGGGTTACCCAGTTTATGGATTTACGAGATGAAAAATAGCTTGTACGAAAGAATATTATTTACTGGTGCGGAGGGTAGCAATCTCTGAATTTCAATTTTCGAGGTAGGTAGCTGAATTTTAATTTGAGGTAGGTAGTTAACAAGATAATGATGACAAATTGTGGAAAAAATTGAAATTTCTCAACAATCGAAATTTTAACCAAATTGGCCCAGCAGTTTAGATGCTACAGCTAAACACACAGACAGGCAGAACGAATGAGGTCTGAGAATAAGGGTATCCTAGAGAAGAGATTCAATACACAGTATTATTCAGTATAGGATGGAAAGAAAAAATCTATATAGCTGAAACCTGGTTTAGTAGATACAGTGGATTCGCTTTCATATTCGGTGTCAACAACATATGCGGTTGATGTCGCCTGAAATGCAAAAATTATAATATTGCAATCTAAGTGGACTCAAACACAAATGAAAATAAGGAGAAGACAACAGGTTGTTAGGGATGCCTATGGCCGAAAAAGATGCTGAAAAGTAACTAATTCAATATTCAACATACTGTGTATTCGTTATTAGAGTGAAAAAATTTTAATTCTCATAAATTTTACTGGTTAAATATAGACCAACTTCTATGTGATCTTTGTTAAAACCTGAAACAATATGTTGCTATTGATCATAGTACTTTATAATGTATTAAAAAAAAAAGAATAATATTTTCGGATTTCGGACATCTTAAGTTGGAACAGTTGTGAAGAAAAAGACTAACGAGTTCCAGACACCACTTCAACGGAATGAGGAGAAACTAGGTATGCCAAGTGTTACCTAAACAACAAATAGACCTAAGTAAATCGAAGCAAAAAAATTTACAGGTCATCTTCCATGTACAACAGTTCAAATATCAGAATACGATTAGCAGTAAATACCAAATACAAAAAAAGTTTTACCACAATACTGCCACTCGCAGTAGCAATGTCAGGATTTTCTTCAGCCCCTTTTGAATTTTTTTCGACAAAATACCACCAGGGTAATTGAGACATCCATTGAAAATCATTCTTACCAGATGGTGCATCATGTTGAGAGTTCTGTGATGAAAAAATATATAAGAGCCTTGAACTTCACAATTGATAATGTTGGAAACCATTTGAATTGTGATCAATGTCAACAATATATAACATACATCTCTCTATAAATAACATACCAAAGTGATACAAAACAAATATTCTGTGCTTATAGTTGATGTAAACTAGTTTGTTGTACTCAAAATCAGAATTAAGTAAAGGCGGTAATAAAATCTTTCTGAAGGGCACAGTTCTTACAGATTCCAAGATGTTCTGACATTTGGTTCACACTGAAACACGGGCAACTGGCACGACTGCAGATGCATCACACTGCTTCAAACTCGTCGTCTCTATAGCACTTTTATTCAAACGTGACGTGCGTCGGACGTCATGTGACCAAAATTGAGTTTTTTTGCTAAAAACTCTCGAATGCTACAGTAATTTTTTTTCCTCTTCGGTAAATCGGAGTATGTTTTTCCGAGGATTCCAACAGTGACGTTTTTAGATTGTGCGTACTTTTAGTTTATTGCGCAGTGCCGGTTTGCCCATATGATGGCCCTGACTGTCTCCAAAGGGGGCGTCACCTGTCACGTGACCAAAATTGCGTTTTTTTTGCTAAGAACTCTCAAATGCTACAGTAAAATTATTCGGTAAATAAATTATTATTTTTTTTCGAGGCATCCAATGGTGACATTTTTAGATTACGCTTCTTTCTAGTTTATTGTGCAGTGCTAGTTTGCCGATATGGAGGCGGGGACTGTCTCGTGAAGGAGGGGTTCGCACTCACTGTTATAAATGATCTCTTCTAATGTTGGGGAAACTCTTGGAATCTGAGAACTGTGTCATACTGACTTTTGAGTTTTGATGTATCCAAAGTCTCTTATACGAACAATATATTTGGACAGATGCAGTTGAAATAGTATCTATATGATATCATTCATGGCAAGTTTGGTCAACATTTCTTTCCTGCAGTAGCTGGTTTTGCGCTTGCGATAAAGTTATTTGAATATTGTCTAATATGAACGAAAATACTGTTTTTAAGTTTTTCCATCAGTACCTGCAAACTTTCTTGTCTATTTTTCATCTTCTCATCATGTTCATGTATTTCTTTATTTGTAGCTGGAATTAAATGCGGAAAAACGAACTGCCAGATATCCCTGTTGAAAGTAAAATATGGCAGAATGTTTTTTTGATCATACTGACTTGAAAACTGTCAAGTCTCACGTTAAACAGTAATGCTTAAGTATATATAATTCCGCATAATAATATATGATAATACTGAAATGAGATAGTTAATAAAAACAACACAATATCAAATATTGCAATTTCATGATACCTTGGCTCTTTTCACTCCACACTGCCACAACTTCGTGGAGTCGAGGACAATATACAATTGATTGTGATTACCGACTGAGTAAAATTTAACTTCGACTTCAGTTAAGAACTCAAATTTTAATTATGGAAACATTGATATATGCAAGCCTCCTTCATTTATTGAATTGTTTAGAACACCTAGTACATTAATAGTGACAATTTAAAATTTGACTTCAGTGGAAGCGTGCAAAATTCGACTTCCAGACTCCACTACCTGACGACCCTGCTTTTCAGTTTCATAGATTCAAATTTGCGTAAAACAATTTAATTTTGATAGTTTTCGTAAACCATATATATAACCAAGTGATAAGGATATGTGATGTGATATATATAACCAAGTGATAAGGATATGTTAGGTTTGTATAAAAAAATTATTTTATATATTTATTATAATAAAAATATTAAATAAATGTAAGGATGTTATTTTCTATATATAGATTTCTATTTATTAACTCGAAAAATAACAATAGAAATGATTACAGGATTATATACACAAACGAACTTTAGATTCCCAATTGTGAATTCCTGGACGCCAAATATATCTTCCAGAAGGTCACCTTTGCAACGTACAATACGCATGTTCTGTGAATCATGTAGTTTCCTTTGTTCAATGTATTTTCCGAGGTATGAAAGAACCTAAATGCAGCAACATTCAGACATTAAGAATTCAGTACATTAGCTCAGTACTTGTCAGTTTGTGGCATAGGTTAACTAAATAATGAAATGAACAAAAACATAATCAATAAAACTTGCTTTTTCTGTTGTAAAAAGTCGTTCTGTAGCTCCTACCATTTTCATAATTCGCAGGAGTTTCTCACGAACTCTGAAATGCTGAATTGGAGGCTAAAAACAGAGAGTATACAAGTGTATTGGGAAGTTATTTCAGATATTACAGGGGCTGATATTGACTGTCCAGTCAGATGGTTCAGTACAGCAGTAATTGTAAATGAAATGTCTGAATGTAGTTGACACCTCATCCAGTCATCACACATTTTTAGACCCATATTTAATATATATTACCATCAAAAACAGTTATCCTTAATAATTGTTGACATGAAATGCCAAATGACTCCGAAATGCTGAAATGATAGAGACAGCAATTAAATTATGGAAGAAAAACTCACCATTTACCGGTACTGCAATAGTTGGAAGTTTTAATGAATTCGTTTATTTCCTCTACTGCGTATTTTCCGCAGATACAATCTTTCTTTGTCAGTTCGGGTCGACAAAGATACCTGATTTTCAGGAAGAAAAAATTCCGATATCACCGCAGGCTCCCGCCGACAAACGAACATCAACCTCGAACAAAAGCAGAGACTGGAAAATAAAAAAGCAACCATTCAAGCGCAGCCTTGCCACAAACACGCAGCGTGAATTCTTTCGCTCGGCACGTCTAGGCTTGCCCAACACTGCCCAATCTCGCCTGTTAAAAATATATATTTACGTTACATATATGGTAAAATATGGCCTTTTTGAGTTATGCATATTATTTCGCAAACATGGTGACATAATATTCAACATTTCTGCGGAAAACCGATGTAGAACAAAAGTAACTACGAAATGGGATTTCACATGCGATCTTGAACGAGATCGTTGTCTTAATAAGAACTCTCAACAAAACCTTTTTACCCGTTAGATGACAAGAGAGAGCAGTAAAGATTCGTGGAAAATTTTATTACATATTGTGCCTGATTTACAGCTTGTTGTTATTTTTTGTCAAGTAGGGCATCGTTAAGTCCAAACTGTACCAATAATTTTCAAAATCATTGCGGGTCGCACAAGTGGGAAATATATCCTAATTTCAAGTGCTGTATAAGAGCAATTATGACAAATATGTCTAACGTAATTTTATTAGGACGTAAGCGATGGAGTGTCATATATAATAAGTATATTGAGTTGAAAATTGGTTTATTACATGCGTCTTCGATTGGTAATACTGGCACGCGCTAGCTAAATATCATCATGATATCGCAGTGTCGAGACCCGAGGATTTGCTAATGTATATAATGGCATGATTTCGAAAACTAATGACGTAAGAAAATGTGGAATAAAATATGCATCACTGTATATGTATTGTTGTTCTGTTCGGTTTGTCAAAAGACTAAAGGTAAATCTTTAATACCGTAAGATAATTTTATCCTTAGCCTCGCAGTAATTAGTTTGAATTAACTAGGCACACAAGTCATAACCAAGTATTTTGCTAATTAATTCAGCTGCTTCTGACGTAACTCTAATCAACGAACAACCCCTTGTACGCAATGGAATAATTTCATATTTTAAATGCGTATCTGATTCAGTCGATCTTGCTGTTGATCCGTTTTTACGTATCATGGACACGGGTAAGTCGAATTACGCGACTGCAATTATATTAAAATAATATATATGAATGAATATTTCTCTTATAAAAGAGATTTGTTTTAATATTGATGAAACGAAATTGATTTTCATATTATAATACGGCATATGTTGAAATACGTGAAATTTATTCCTAGTTTTCATGCTCTTAAAATTCATACCAAATATATTCTGGAGCAATTCCTCAAAATTGTTAGCCAAGTTAAGAATGTAGCCTATTTAAATTCGTGTTTGCATCACAACTTTGGACAAAACATCTGAGTTAACCTAGACTAAATCTAGTTTTAAAAATATTAGCAATAAATCATTGCATGCTCTGTAAAATAGAGGGCGTGTTATCCTCACGACTCTATTTTTTTCACTGTAGGTTCGGGGACCCATATGTCACCTATGGTTCATATGGGACCAATATCTCCAGAATCATGGCCCGGTAAAAGATTAAGCATGTTCCCCGAAGCTGGAATGAAGCGAACAGGAGTATTTTCGTGCACAGCTGGAAGTGGAAGAAATACAGAGATAATCCAGGCAATAAAGATTGGTAAAGTTGTGAATTAATTGGATTGTCTGCACCTTAATAATAAAATACAAAAGAATTTGGACTCGTGTTCGTAAATGATAAAAGAGACTTGTTTTCGAAAAAACATTGCAAAAGTAGGCATTTATTTTTTCAAGAAAGTTGCAACTAACTATAAAAGAATAATATAACTTTCATTCATCAATAGCTTTACTTTAACGATTTCGCAATTTCTTCGTATACTATGACGTAATGCGCTAAATTAGTGAAAGTTATAGAGCCATATACATATGTACTGTATTCCTATTTTATATCATATATATCGACAAAATATTCCCTAGAATGGCTGGTATTGTGTTTCAACTTTACAGGTACAAGTGGTGGAATATGGCCTGAGAAATTCACTGTCACAGTCAACGTTGGTGAAAACGTTTACCTAAAGTTTCTATCTCACGATGATAAACAAACAGTATGGAGACACCACGGACAAGTGATACCACAGGAAAGTGATATGGTCCATTCCATTTCATCAATATCCAAATCGCACGCTGGAATATACGAGTGTTACAGTGCTCCACGAGACAAACATTCTATTCAATCTTACAGGTGCATTTTTTCAGTTTAATTCGATACCGCACCCTTGTTTTCAGGGTATAGTAGGTATCCACCGCGATAAAATCGTCTATGATGCCTTCCTTATTAGATATCAGTCGGTATTTTCATCGGGGTACTTAGAAACCTTTGGAAAACTGAGTCAATTGAATTATATAATATATGTGTATCCATTAACTGCTTAGGCCGTCGGATCAGGGCATCATGAGACTGATAGTGCGAGAATGTGCAGAAGGGAGATGGAATCCGCCCTATTGTGGACGAACATGCAAATGCAAAAATGGAGGTTTCTGTGATGACAAAACAGGAGAATGCGTTTGTCCACCCGGATTTAAAGGAACCAACTGCGAATCTGCTTGTGGTGGTAATAGGTATGATTGCATTGTGTTGCGAATCTGCTTGTGGTGGTAATAGGTATGATTGCATTGTGTTTATAGAATAATAGATATCTATTATTTTATTTTACTAGTGTAATCGACCTGCTGATTCTAAGAGTAATCACTTCTGTTGCCAGATTTGGAGCAGATTGTCAGTTTTCATGTAAGCAAGGTGGATCAAGCTATGGAGAAGATGCCGAAGAATGTAAATCAAGGCAATTTTGCCTTCCAGACCCATACGGTTGTTCATGTGGTACAGGATTTCAAGGATTAGAGTGCAGCGAAGGTTTGATATCCGCATCAATTGAAATTATTATTTACACCAGTGGCGGCGCGTCAATAGGGCCAACCGGGGCAATGCCCCGGTTGTTTTTTCGGTATAATAAAAAAATATTCGAAAAATACCTCAATTACGGTTGCACAGACTGTCTACACTAGCCATATTCTCCCGACATGGTTCATTTTTCGCTCGCAAAGCCTTCGCCGAACGTCGACGGGGCGACGCCGATTTTGCCCCGGTTGCTCATTGTATATCGTATTCTCTCTTTTATCTTCCACTCGCCGCGTTTGTCTCGTTTGTTTTCTGTTTCTTTTACTAAATCATCGGGGCTAGCTCGAAATTATGACGACACAATGCCGACGTTTCTTACAACTGACATATTCACGCATTCCTTCTCGTTCGTTGGTTGCTTGAAGAGTTGATAGTTTCCTCGCCTTCGTTTTTGTCGCTTGTTTCGCTATTTGAATCAGTTAGAGACCTTTAGTCCATTTGCTTTCGATTTTCCACATTCCTTTTGAGCTCCTCACTTCTTTCCGGCTTCGCATTTCTTATCCTTAGACCTCATAATGAATAAGGTTGATGCACTACTTCGCACTCCGTTTTCGCAGCTGCCGCTGGAACAAAAATTAGAGGTACAACGTCTTGGGCCTTATCAACCAAAAAATTGTTCACTGGAACAATCCCATGACGGAGGAAAGCGTCGGCGTACATTCTGCGCAGAAACTTGATACAAAAAACACGAATGGTTGTGTTACAGCGAGGACAAAAATGCACTTTTTTGTTTTTATTGCCTACTTTTTGCTACCGCCCGTGACTCACGTTGGTGTAAATTTGGTTTTAGAGATCTTTAAACATCTTTCCGAGCGTGCCAGGGATCATCAATCTTCTATGGAGCAACTGGACAATGCAGTAAAATACCGAACATTCGGAAATGTTAATATTGCAGCACAGTTGGATGAAGGACGCGCGGTTTCTATTCGTCGGCACAACCAAAACGTCGAGAAAAACCGCCATGTCCTCGATCGATTGATAGATGTTTTGAAGTTCATTGGTTGTCACGAGCTGTCCCTCCGTGGGCACGATGAACGGGCTGGCTCTTTTAATAGAGGGGTATTTTTGGATATGGTGGAATACACCACATCCCTAGATACAGTATTGAGAGATCATCTAGATGCCGCAACTGTTTCGAAAGGGACATCTAAGGATATCCAAAATGATTTGCTCGACTCAATGTATAAAATTTATTTACAACATTTGGCTCTGGAAATTGAGAATTGCCCGTTCCTTTCGATTCAGTCTGACGAGACAACTGACATCACGTGCGTTTCCCAACTGGCTGTGATTTTTCGGTTTGTGAAAGATTTCACAGCTTTGTACCAATCGTTGATCGCACGGCTTGCGGGATATCGGCTGTACTGAAAGAAGTGTTACAGCCTTACAACGCGAAGTCAAAATTGATAGCTCAAACTTATGACGGCGCGGCAGTCATGAGTGGGTCGAAACAAGGTGTTCAAGTTTATATAAAAGAAGATTTTCCTCATGCGCATTTTTTACATTGTTATGCACACCAATTTAACCTCGTTATTAAAAATATGTGTCTTGATACCCCTCTCGTCCGTATATTTTTTGCAAATGTTTCGGGGTTTTCTTCATTTTTTTCCGTTTCGGCGAAGCGCTCTGACCTCCTTCGCCAGATATGTAGCCGCCGTCTCCCAGCTTGTGCACCAACACGTTGGAACTTCCAATCACGCGTGGTGCAGGGCGTGTCCGAAATTAGGTCTGAGCTCATTGAGTGTTTCAATGGCATTCAGAGCTCTCCGGTTTGGGACGAACGCTCTGTGAGGGAGGCGGCAGGTCTAAAGCGTCTGCTAGAAGATGGTGAGTTTTCATTTTTTCTCGCTTTTTTCTCCACAATATTCTATCACGTGGATGTATTATACGGCGCATTGCAGTCAAGGCTAATGGATGGAGCGTCTGTGCAGTCGTGTATTTCAGACTTCTGCGATGCTGTATCTCGTATCCGGGAAACAATAAAATACGACGACACATGGAGTGCTTCTTTACGCCGCGGGCAAACAACGCAGCGTTTGATTTTGTCTGCAAAGGAATGCTTTGACATTCTGGTGAATCAAATAGGCGATCGTCTGAGCACTGAACACCTTGCCGCGTTCTCTTTGATGAACCCCAAAAATTTTTCAAAATTTGCACGTCAATTTCCCATCCATTTGTTGGCTACTGTCTCCAAATTTTACCCCATGATGAACGTGGGTTAATTGGAAAATGAATTGCGATGTATATACACCAATCAAACTTTTTTGAACAGAACATCACATCAACTTGCGCGCTCTATGGGTTCCTCATAGATAACACTCTAGTAACTACCTTTGCGGCGTCTGCAAAATTTCTGGACATCATTTTGACGACGCCTATTTCTTCCGCCGACGTAGAGCGAACATTCAGCACGCTGAAGCGTATTAAAACGTATCTCAGAAACACAATGAAGCAAGATAGATTAAATTCCTTGGCTGTTTTATCCATTCACAGAGACGTTATTTCTGGGATGCATGACTTTAATCAGCGCGTTATTGAGCATTTTGCTTCCAAGAAACCGCGGCGTGTTGCATATATGTTCAAGCAGTAGAAGTCTAGCAGCATATATATCTATGAGTGAGCGACGCATGCCCTTATCTTTGCATTACCTTTCCTTTCTTCATAGTAACGTTTTAAACCTTATTTTAGGTTTTGTCTGCTTTCCCGAAGTTTCTGTTAATATGTCATTGTATTTATCTGGGTAAATATTGCCTTTCCTTTTGAAAGAGGTTTCAAAATAAACTATGTCTGTATTTATTAATCCCTTGACTTGGACCGGTTTTAAAGACACTTTCTTATCGTTAAAAATTGTCGCTTTTGCCGATTGGTTGTTACCGATGGAATGGTTTTTATACTCATAAAATGATGGGAGAACTTACAGCGCTCATCCTGTCCCCGTAGATGGGGGTGACTTGGTCCCGCAGTAGCTTGCCCCGGTTGTCAAAATGACCACGCGCCGCCACTGATTTACACTCACTCATATAACAATCATGGCTTTCAGATTCAGAGACACATTTACTGGTTATGGTTACCGCTAGTTGCCAACAAAATAAATAAACACTGCTCTGCCAAATTAGTCAGTAAAATTAGTTCTTTTATGAAGCTGCTGACCTTTACTCTAAAGGTTGTTGGGCTTTCGACTGTAAACCTAAAATTGTTGGTCTGCTAAATACAGCTATTATTACGGAAACAGAACAGAATCGTGACATTCAAAATGCTGTTAAGTGTATTTCAACAAAATCATTTCATATAATCACTGAAAAGTGTTTGTAACCATCTGTGATAAAAATAGTAATCTCGTGGAAAAGAATGATATAATGTGTTAAAACAGCACCTGTTGATTGACTCAGCTAGGATATTTATTACCTACATCAGGATGTACATTGGGATCATACGGTGCCGATTGCAAGCAGGAATGCCACTGCAAACGTCCAGATTTGTGCAATCGTTTTACCGGATCATGTACCATGGGATGCGCAGCAGGATGGATGGGGCCTTCGTGCCAGGAAGGTAGGATACAGATTTTGCGGGCCGCATCCGCAATAAACTTTACACTTTATATACTGAAAAGCATACACCGTAATATGGCATGCATGATATAACATTGTTATGAACGGCACATACAGAACTTTACATTTTAGGTTTAGAGGCAAATGGAAATGGAATATTGTTTTTTTGTAAGAGGTCTACACGCAATTTCGATTTTTATTAAAAATGATGTACAGTATGTATTAATTAATCATTAATTAGAAATACTTCCGTCCGGAATTCAAGCCTGTGTATCTAAATATTTCTGCTGTTCATTGTAGTTCATATTATCTTAAATTTAGTGAATAAAGACATGTGGGAAGAAAAGAGATATTATAATATACACAGAAAGCTGTTTTTGTATATATATATACATTTTACTTATCACGATAGATACTATAATTTGTTTCATTATACATGTTTCCTCTTTTCTGGTATGATGTTTTGATTCAATTTCTTAACGAATGCGCAAAATAACATAGCTTAACATTAACACATTCGCATTCAGAATGCGAGCCTGGCGCATGGGGTGAAAATTGCGAACAAAAATGTCATTGTGATGGAGATGTTCCATGTGATAAAGTTAATGGAAAATGTCCTGGAGGACAATGTGCACATCCGTTCACAGGGAGAAGCTGCCAGGTAGATAAATATTTCTGGTTTGATGAATCGGCTCAATTTAATTTACTTGATGTATTACCGGTACAATGACATTCTATTCAGACAGATGTCATAGACGAATGTGAATCCAACCCATGCCAACATGGAGGAACTTGTACGGACCGCGTTTTGTTATATGAGTGCACATGTGTGAACGGTACCACCGGAAAAAGCTGTGAAATAGGTGGGTTGCAACTGTACAATTTCGTTCTCTAAACTCTAACATATCCAGAACTGCAAAGTAGTATAGATAAGGAGTTTTCCTGATCTGACAAAATAATGCTAGATTCCTATATTGAATTGATAATATGGCGGCCAGTATGAAAACACACTTTTAATTCAGCTAGATTTCCTTGGGATTATTACGTAAAAACACAAATTTTTTTGTCTTGTTGATCCAGGAAACTTTGATTGTTTTCATAGATATTGATGATTGTCAAAGTTCTCCTTGCAAAAATGGTGGATCATGCATAGACGACGGCATTTTAAAGTTTAAATGCGAATGCCAGCCTGGATTTATAGGGAGAATATGTGAAACAGGTAACCTAACCGTATACACCGATGAAAACTAACATGACATTCTTATATGAAAGAAACGATGGTGTATATTTGTCATTATATTTGTGAACCCATTTTTTTTTTATATAATCACAGATATTGACGATTGTCAATCTAATCGTTGTGACAATGGAGCTACATGTGTTGATAAAATTGACGATTACAGTTGTAGTTGCAAATCAGGTTACATTGGAAAATATTGCGAAGGTATAGATTATAGGAGTTATTACGAGAGTTTAATATAACTGCATAAAATTAGAGTTCATACTTAAATTAATGATGTCTGACCCGATAATTTTGAACAGTGGGTGGTAGAATATGTCTATGGTGGCCCATCGTTGTCACTAGTAAAATTAAAAAAATAATAATAAAAAAGTAAAATAAAAAAACTAAAAATAAAAATAATTTTTTTTTGTAAAAAATTTAAAAAAAAATCAAAAAATGATAATCAAAAAGGTTTTCATTTTGAAAAAATTTGCTTCTGCTTGGGACCAACCGCCACTCAAATTAACTGTGGAATTAATTTGAGCACAAGCCATTTATACGCCAATCAGTTTGGCGCCTCCCAGGAGATTTAACAAATTTTAGAACTATTTTTGGAAAGCATAAAGAGACTAATAAACATATGAAAGGAAATTTTAAACTTTGTAATAACAGAGTTAATATAATTATTCATGAGCTTTATAAATACATTATATAAAAAAATTATAATTCATGTATTGTATTTGTATCGTAATTTTGTCACTTTAGACAAATTTTTATCCTTCGTAAAAACGATATATACAACTGTTTTCAAACGAATCGTCCCGTTTCATTGATTAGATGTCAAATAACGTCGCGAGTTTTTTCTTCGGGAATAAACCAACCGAAGTATTCAGTTCAGTCGATATCTGTCTTGAATTATATTTCATAAATATGTGCCATATTGTCTACTTTAAATAATATTCCAGTTTACACCTTGAACTGGTTGAACCTGTTATTGTAAATCGATGATTTTTTAGAAATATGTCCTCCAGGAAGTTATTATGATGACAAATTTGTTGCATGCTCGCTTTGTGACATAACGTCGTATCAGGACAAACCGGGACAAGCATTCTGCATTCCTTGTCCAATGGGAACGGAAACACAACAGAACGGAACAACATCTGTATCTGAATGTGAGCTCTCTGGGTATACTGTAATAAGAAATCTTGAGAACTCGAAATACCAGGTTAGGGTTCAGGTTATGCGACATCTTGGTGCGCATACTTCAGGAGGTCAGGAAATTCTATTACCCATTACGATTTTGGTTGTTAATTATTCCATTTTGTCAAATAATATAAAATTTTTAATCGGAATAACGCAATTTTTTTCCATGAAATATCAACTATATATTTGTTAGCTTTCGCTATATTATAATCTAACCACCAGTGGTTCTCAAGCCGCGCCCCCTTTGTCGAGTTTGTTCCGCGCCCCACCTCAAAAATACCTAGCTAACTAAAAGTTACAAATAACAGATAGTAAGGCGAAGGTATGTTTCATTTAAAAACCCGTTGAAAATACGTGGATGGAACATAAACATCCAAAATAAGGGGGGCAAGAACAACAAATATGTTCATTTTTTAATTAGCTTCACGGCCCCTCAAAAAATTGTCTACGCCCCCATTGTGGGGCGCGCCCCACCGTTTGTGAACCACTGCACTAGATAGAACGAGACGTCACGGAAAGAGATTGTGTTGTTCTTATTCATCACTTTACTATCTAGTTCAAGCATCCTTGTGGCACATACCGATCCTAAGTAGACGAGGGGAAAGGACCTGTTGTTTAATACACAATAATTAGAATAATATTTTCGTCTCAGTTATTTGTTTTTCTATAAATTCATATACATTTGTAATATTCCAAATTAGAATTGCGGTTGAAACAAAAATATAATAGAAAATTTGACGTATATCATATAGTCCATCATAGCGAATAGATTTACATTTCATCGACGAATTACGTCATTTACATATTTTTTATATACAGGTCTTGCTGACAATATATTACAGGTGAACGCATCTGTGGACAGTTTAATTTTTATAATAGTTGGAATAGTCGGAGCATTGATCGTGGTGGGCGCAGGAGTTTTAATATGGTATTATGGTTACCATAAAAAGAAAAATAGATTAGAAAGAGTAACAATACGACGAGCTTGGTGAATTTACAAGGCAAATAATCGTTTGTAGACGTAAAGTGTGGACTGAGTGTAACTTGTTCGCAATGCTCGGATTTCAATATTGATTCGAAAACTAATTGAGTTACATTTGAAACAATTGGATTATTACATGGTTGGATTTACATGCAAACTTGGACTGTTCAGTTATCTTAGTTAAAACAAATGTCGCAATTATTGGTACTTGGAAAAACTCAGACTAAATATCATAGAATCGTTTGTAGACGTTAAGTGTGGACTAAGTGTAAAATGGTTGAAACCTGTTCGCAAGGCTCAGATTTCAATATTAATTCGCGAACTAATTGAGTTACATTTGAAACAAGTGGATTATTTGGATTTACATGAAAACTTGGACTGTTCAGTTATCTTAGTTTGAACGAATTTTGCAATTATTGGTACTTGGAAAAACTCAGACTAAATATCACAGAATCGTAATATTATTTGTTTCATAACATTCCGCCACAATACAATCAATGTATGTATATAAATTGTTCGATTTTCAGTTGCTATTTGTAATTCTCTTTGTTAATTTCCCATCCTCTATTCTGTGTTTATGAATTTCGTGTTTTCTTCGAATTTTTTCTCTTGTACGACATCACTAATAAAGATATCCATTGTTTGTTCAAACTTGAGAATAGAAAATTTGTACAAATAATATGAAGTTTTTGATTACACCCGTTTTAAAAAAAAACTAGGCTACCCTAAGAGGCCACGGAGTGGTAGTGAGGTACCATTCACCGTGACTGCATTTATTTAGAATTGACAGGGATTTGTTTATTGAATTGCATAGTTCTTAGGCCGTGTTATTGTAAACCTATGGTTATTGATTTTCTGAGAACCCCTTATATTCAATTTCGCTTCAGGTTTGTGGAACAAGCTGTAATGCGTTCAGTTTCATACAAAACTAAAGAATTTATTTGGTTACCAGATATGCGCTACGAAACTATTTTTTGGCCTCGTTTCATTATACCTTTTAACACTGTAGTAGCATAACTTAACTAAAAAATACGATGAAAATGCTACCCAACTCAACGCAAGATCGAGCAGTACAGACTGAGATCCATCCGCCCGTCAACAGCGGATACAATTTTAATTGATACGTCATGCAGAAGTCTGCGTTCATTGGCCAATATTGCCGGAAAAACAGAGAATATACAACAGAGGATAACACATATTTATTTTAGTAAAAGCGTCTTTTGTGTAAAACGTGCAACTTTTTGAAAATGGGAACAAGGTATTATTTGTTACTAAATTTCTAAGGAACATTTTAAAATTATTTCCAAGTAGGCTAGTTCCCGCTACGAAACTGAAAGATAAACGGCTTCATCTCGCGGCCTAGATGTTGATAAATGAAGTTCTGTTTTGTCGAAGAGTTATCCGGTACCATGATGTTTTATTGCGATTTTGAACTTTTTATTGTTTTTAATCAAGTTATTACCAAAAATTCGTCTCATATGAAGAAATGTATCAATCGAATATAAGCGAATTTATACCAATGCGTAAAATACAAAATACGACGTTATATTGGCTAAAAATCCTGCGCACGTAGCTCAATGTATCAGTTTGATAAGATAAGTAAACATTCATTTATTTTACCACCCACAGTAGCCAAACCCCATGAGTTTTCTTATTGATCACCGATATTACTAGCGTCAGTACGCAATGCATCTGAATAAATTAACGCAGCTGGATCTCAAACATCAATTTCTAATTATGTGATATATCTCGTTTTTAATATATATGAATTAATGTGCACTATGAATAATCACATAGTACCGGAATATCGGCTTTTTTAAATATCGGTGTATCGGTATCGGTAAATGTGGTATCGGTACATCTCAATTCTAGTTAACACAATCACAAACAGGCTATCTGTGCAACGTTTGGGGTATTTTTAAACAAAATATTTATTCGTTAGTTTGTCAATACAAAATGTCAAGAAAACCTTCAAAAAAGCTCGCTCTCTTTATATTTACTATAATACTATAATTTTTTTTTTGTTTCAGCACTGTTTTTATGCGCCTGCTTGCGACTTTAAGGTTTGAAATTTGGCTTGGCACAAAAAAGGAACAACTTGTCTAAACCGTTAGTAGTAATTCTAATGCCGCGTCATCTGAATCACAAATATCCATTTCTCATGTTCTGGAATACTTGTTCTTCAAGCTGAAACAATGTTGTGAATATGATGAATAGCTTATGTACATTTTACAAGAATGAAGTCATCATCCCGTGTCGCCATTGGTATGTATTAAAACTGAAGTGTAGATAAATATTAATTTTTGTTCCTCTTGTAAAGTAGCTGTACTGATTAATGGTAGTGGTGGACTAATCTCTACCGCTTGCAGTATTTTAACAGTCGATCTTAACGTAATAAACAGCGATACAATGTCATTATAACAACACCTATTCTTATTTAAAACGCCTAATTTTGCAGAAAAGGAGAGCGAGTACTATATAGGCTGAATGACTATAGATAGGGTATAAGGTGCAGGCAAACACGCAGTCATGTATTCATGAGAGGTGACCATTATTACGGACGAATTGAAGCTTTGGATGAAATTGTAAAATTGTTGTTCTCGTTGCGGTGATATTGGTCAGATTAGTCTTTTCGGTAAACCGGGTGCTATTCTAGTACGTTATTGGTACCGTCGGGAATAGCTATGGTAGTCGAACTGGCAATCGCTAATTTTAATTACTTATCAGTCTATTGGCATCTGTGTTCAAATGTTGCTTAAATTTAAAATGAAACATGGTAATAGTAACCAAAAGAACACGCACTCCTCAAAGAAATCTTTCAAAAGTAAAATTTGCTAAATTGTTGAATCTTGAAACAAAACATATTTCTATGGCATGTTTTACATGACTACTCATGCACGGGGAAGTGACGGTGTAGGAAGAAATGAATCAAACTCGTTCAGAATATATATTATACCCCATTTACTACACTTTGGGTCATGAAGTTGGCATGACTTTTGAACCCGGAAGTTTTATTATGAGACTCCAAAATAGCATGACTTAAAGAGAACTCCCCGGCTCCTGTACTGCGTGCGTATAATGTGATATGCTTTCAAAGTATCTGGGAGGATGAATCGAAGTCGAAACTTGTTGTTTAGTTTAGACAATACCTCTAATATAGAAAGGGATTAAATGCTAATATTATATATATTTTAGGAATTTTGATAGATTTAAGTGCAAATTGGGATCATTGTGTAAAACAAAGAGTGAAATGCAAAAATCTCGGTCTAAACAATTTGAAAGAATGAAGAATTCGATAATGCTTCTTTCAATGGAATATGGCCACACACTGACTAAACTTACAATTTAATCTGAACGAATATTGCTCGTAGTGTGCAGATGGTGAATCGAACACATCTTTCTCATTCTCATCATAATATTCAAATTTGACGTCAATCACAAAATTATTTACTTTTTTCGGACATAAGGACGAGAGCCGAACGTGGTTCCAATCGATTTTATCAATTCTAGACGTCAAGTGCCGTCAAATTCATCTTGCATATTGATTTGTTTACATTTATGCAAATATATAGATAAATAATAAAAAAAAAACGCGTTCGACATTCAATGTCAGTTTGAAAACATGGTCTCACGGCAGAGGTATTCATTTTGGCGCCGGATCACTGTGAATACTACGCCGAATCCAGAGAGCATATCATCATTATTTAGATAGCTAAAGCGAAAAATAAAATACAGATAACAGAAATTCATCTTTCGAAATTCTTGAGTAACTGTTTGTAGCTACAAAGTCGTTTGTCTAAATTGCACAAACATCATGAGATATTTTTATGAGCTTCTTGTGAAATTAAATAGAAATTTTTCATGTTCCATGTTATCCAAAAAGCTTGAATTGGGGCATTAGATGAGGCAGCATACTTTAAAGCAAGTGCTAATAAAGCAAGGAAGAAATTAATTTATATATATATCTTGTTATTTGACTTCAGTGATGCGAAAAAATATTTTTCTTACTGCTAATGGAAGTAGTTCAACAACGTGGTAACAACTACTCACCAATTTTTGAATTTGATTGATTCTCAGGCCCAAAAGCTAGAATATTCACAGTATCCCGCAGTCGTATGTCGGACTTTTTATGACAAAGGGTTCAAGACAAATTACGATGATATTCGAATCATTTTCTCTTCCAATTTTATATTTTTTATTAGGAATTTTTTTATATATATATATCTGTCCAACATTAGTTATCTGAAGTTAATCAAATTAATAAAATAAGCGTTGACTTGAATATTGTGATAAATTACAACAAGCAACAAACCTTTGAAGAAAAAAGTTATACAATTATACCGACTCAAAAATTATTTTCAAGAATGCCTGTTGATACACGTAATTCGTGTTCTACCGACCTATTTCTAGATGTAGAAGAAAAAAATATGCGTTTACTGACAATGCACGTAAGTACTGAACTGTGCGGTAGATGCGCTTGGAATATAAAAAAGTAGTTTTCACCCTATTTAGTTAAGCGGAAACCCAATAAAACGTTTCAGAAGTTTGAGACGCTTCTGTACAATACTTTTAAAGCTGTGAGAAGAATTGTATAAACTGAAAATATATAAACCTAAAACGGCAGAACAAAATTATCTTAAAAAGTATCAAGTTTAATACTAGCGGCAAACCTAATGGGTATTTGAGTATATTTAAACAATATACAAATTATAATTTGGAATGTAAACTTGCGGAACCCATGGACTGTGCTGGGGTATACCCAGGGTGTGGCGAAACCGTTGTCGAAAACCACTAATCTAAAATATCATATTTTGACCAAGGACTAAACCATAAGATTCCGCCCAAATGCCGGCTATAGTATGTCATTCCACTACTGACTATTCCCTAAAGGCTGTCCATGCATTGACATCTGTACGCAGTGTAATCTATTCTACAGCGTAATAGAGTTTATAAAAATTTTAGGCTGATAAATTGTTACCACATCGATATTACAACAAAATCTGATGGGATATTATCAGCTAAAGTTTAATATTAAAAATTTTTCCAGACGATCGTCATCACCTTAGTCGGGATACTTATTATTCTCATTCTGTTCGGAAACTGGCTGGTGATCGTATCAATTCTGAAATTCAAGAGAATGCGGGATGTGCAAAACATCTTAATTCTTTCATTAGCAGTGTGCGATTTTTTAATTGGAATTCTAATATTGCCACAAACTCTTTCTTATGAATTGTTGGGTTATTGGCCTTTTGGGAAAATCGCATGCAAGGTAAATTTATATTTGGAATAAAGCTTAAGATTATTGCTCGGCAAAAATTTTTGCAATTTATGGAAAATTCGATAATAAATAAATTTGTGAATTTTGTAAAAGTGATTCAAATATCAGCAATGAACAGTCAGGGATGTTGGTTTGATATTGCCGGGTTTTTATGCATATTATCAAATACGCATTGTTATTCAATGGAATTTCATAATTTCACAGTTACACACCCGTTTTATAGAATAGTGCTGTATACATTATTTTTGCTGTTTAAGTTTTTATTATAAATTAGAGTAATTTCAAAATAATGTAGATGAAGCATCCCGCTTTTCTATCATTCGGTCTGAGTATTTTAATGAGAAATAATGATTTGGATTTACATGGTTAAATTATTAATTTATGGTACTCATTTGCAGATCTACCTTCTTCTTGATATCGCTTTATGTACAGGGAGTATCTGGACGTTATCAATGATTAGCATCAATCGATATTTAGCGATGAAGTTGGTCGTAAGATACAGGTGAGAAATATCCTGAAACACCGTATTACTCAATACTAATCCTAAAAGAAAACATCATACTATTATATATTGGACAATTTTATGTACAGATTTTTCAATAAAACCAAGAATGGAGTCGTTATGGATATTATCATATGGATTTTGTCGATTGTAGTCTGCCTACCTGCGGTTCTATATGCCGTTACTGGTAATGATGATGAAGTAAGACTTATATTTTTTTCATATACTACTGTGCAATTTTTATATGCTCGTAACAAACATATATATATACAATTTTATTTACTATATTCCAGCTTGTCTGCAATCATTCCGAAGAACGTTGGTTTATATTATACAGTGTGTCTATATCCTTTTACATACCAATGTTTTTAATGTGCACTATGTACGTTCGTGTCATATGGGATTTTAGAACAAGACTAAAAAGTTCAACGGTATGTTATATATATATGTAGTTTCATTACTCGAGTCCTTTTCTTTGAGTAATCAAAGGAAGGCTGTGTAATAAATCCCCACTCTTTCGCGTCTTCAGGCTAACCAAGCACTACTAAAGAAAGAGAAAAAGTTGAACACACTTGTCGGTTTAACAATGGCTGCTTTTGTGATTTGCTGGTTCCCGTTTTTCCAAGTCTATCTTGTTCGCGTTATTTGTCCAACATGCTGCGTACCGCCGACGTTGATGAAATTTTTTGAATGGTGAGTTCAGTAATAACTTAAATGATACGTTTTTATGGTCCTATAGCTTGGAAACATACCAAACGTTATTCCATATATCACCAAATATACATTAACTGTGAATCTTATGCATAATAGTGTGTATGGGGTGAGCTGACTGTGATGGCCATATATGGTGATATCGCTCCCAATAGTCGATACTGAATAACTTCATGTACTTTTTATATCTTTATTGTTGCGATGCTTGTTTTCTGGTTGACGATACAATAATTCTCTATCTCCGTCTCTCTTGGGTTGTCTTGTAGCACGTAACATAAATTAAAGTAAAATTAAATTATATTACTTGCAAATGAGGCAATTAGCATATGTCTAAGAAGAGAGAACTCGCATTTACTGATGAACTGCAAATAACGTGCATTGCGTATTTCCCATAACAAGGTAGATGTTATATTTGAATGTATTCATCGTCATGGTTTCATCTAAATTTTCAAATGCGTCATACCCGGGCTGTTATTGTTTCAGAATCAGTAATTAGCGTACTATATTGACGAATTAATCTCTTGGTGGAGTAATTATTATTTCTCATAAATACAAACCCAACCCAGTGAATGACACGATTAAATCTACCAGGTGAATAATGATGTTATAATTAGGTTTGCAAAAAAGGCGTTTTAAAGGTTTTGCAAGGATACCATTGGTCCTTAGTTAAAAGCGAGTTACCTTTCTGGTACTGTTGATTGATCTGTATGTGTGAACGAAAGGGAAATACAAGCAGAACAAAAATGATGGACAACTTGTATTTTTTCTAATTTGTACTCATTGTTTCCAGGTTTGGCTACGTCAACTGTGCTCTGAATCCAATCATTTATTCATCAAACGAAAAAGAGTTCCGGAATGCTTTCAAGTTAATATTGAGGACAAAAAATCGGATCGAACCTTCGACCAGGGCTATGTATGAAGAATTACAAATTCCACGTGATCGCACACCAGAATTTGTCACCCGCAACGAAAACTGTACAACGATCACGTGATACCTAAAAACTAGGTGTTTATTACAAAGATGTCACAGGGATATTGATGACACCTGTCCGTAAAATAACATAAATCGGATACAATCTTGGCCACAAAAAACACCGTTGTGGAATGGGTAGAAATAAAACTATAGAAGCTGATATGTAACGGCGTAATGAGTAACGTTGCCACGCACTAATTAAATGATGAATTACATTTCACTTAATCCTTTCATTGCCTCCTATAAAACTGGCATTTACAATAAAAATGAAAAATGTATTAAGTATATACTTACATTATTATTCTTGAATTCAATATTTCTTTTAATTTTTGTATGGATCTCTCTTCTCTTTTTTAAGAGAAAGAAGTCCGTTTGCTCATTGTGTTGTTTTAATTCATTTTTATCTGCTTATATTTCCAACAACGTTATTTTTTATACACTTTAGTCATTTGCTCAAAAACCTTGGATTTTGAGTTATGTATCTTAACATTTTTTTGTCCTTCCACGCCTTTTTCACGAATAAAATTGGCAAGATCAAAAATTTGATATCAGATATATATATTTTTATATGGAAGTTTGATATATCAGTTAGAAATGACAGAAGTTTGGGGCCAGATACAACATAGGGTATTATCATATTTGTCCATAGGACATATTATGTTTCTGTTCCATACCATAACAATTCACACCTATCCCATTGGACGTTTCCGACAAGCCTGGGTACTATACACAACGTCACAGTCGCATTTGCGTAACATATTAATTAGGTGTTGAGTTTGGGAAGCTATGAAAACCGCTGCAATGACCTTTCTAGAGTCAGAATATAGATTCTAGAGTGTAACATAGATTGAACTAATCGATATTCATGGGCAGCAAAGTTGAACATTTATTAGATAGAGTACGAATTATGAGGCATATGTTTAAGCAGGACTTCTTGCTTACAGATTGATCATTTTTTCGAAAGCTCTTGCATTTAGTTTTTTTTAATTTAAACAGTCGAGATTGTTAGGGTGTAACCGGTGGTGGTATTCAAAACTTTAAACGATTTTCTCATATCGGGAAAAAGTATGTACATATGTGATTACCTGAGCATGAACTTGACACGTTTTACATAAGTTCAATACATAACTTTTGAAACGACAAATAGTCTATACCTCTAGTCCTCGTTGCTGCAATCGTCGAACGTCTGAAAAAATAAAGCGGTTCTATGATTATCATGATTTTTAATAGTGCGTTCGCGCAAATCCATGTGAACCCCCTGAATAACACCATTGGGTGTGACTCACAAAGAATTCAACATTCAGCGCTTTTATTTCCATTTAGCCGAAGTATAAGATTATTTTTCTTGTTATAGAGAATAAACTTCTAATGTGCATTCTATTTCTCTGAGAACATTATTGATCTGGAATTTCCGATTTGCACCACAAATGCATAGTGACTAAAAGAGACCTCATTCAATTATCGCGTACAAAACCAAATGATAAAAACTCATCTCGGACAGAACAATGATAAATGTAGGGCGGGCCCTCATACTTATATATTTTTATAAAATATATATTTATCTTTTATTCGTGAGAGTAGTAATAAGTCAGGAATATGAAAGAACTGATCAACAACACCAATCAGAACCCCAGAGACTAAGCAACCTTCAGTTTATATCAGTCAGACGTTTGCAAGTCACTCAATTTGGTTTGATACCAGCTTGATATTTGATCATAAATGCTAAGAAAGAAAATACCCTCAGCCTGAATAGTTCTCGTATAATAAGAATAGGAAATAACAGAATACGAATTCGATTTGTCAACGCCTTACGGCCCATGATAGAAGTGTTGCAATTTATAATAATTTCTCGTAATACTAAGTGTGAATTATGCAACCCCGCTGTGAAACAGTGACGACGTGATGAGCCTAATGTGTGACTCTGTGATTTTTATCCTACAATTTTTAACTAATTACTGATCTTTATTATTTGCAGCCATATCTTGGTTTATTTGAAGAAGTTAGACTATGACCTAACGAAAGCTTACTTGATATTTCGTGGAAAGAGATTATGTTATTTTTATTGAGTAATCCGTGTGAGGCTTTACCTCGAGCAGTTTCACGTGCTGGGTTTTGTATGCATAATGCACTAATATAACCCAAGTCAACAACATTTAGCACAAATACGTCATATGCATCCATTACACTCAAGTGGTGTTGAAATTTATAACATTTCCAAAATGTTTTATACCGGTTACCCGGAAGTCCATGAATGCTGGAATGATTCCTAAAAGAATTATCGCCAACCAGTTATCATTTAACTCGGCACAGGACTGTAGGCTATTGGATTACATAAAAAGAAAAGAAGACCATTAGACTAACGCTTATAAATTCATGAGAGCACACACAATGCTCCCTCGAAGTTATCGAGATAGTCTGTATATGCCTGAACTGAAAAGACCTTTGTGAATTGTTTGCAGTTTGTCGCTTTTACCGCACTGTGACGCAATGCGCGTCATGAGTACTGATCTCGTGATTCAAGCAATTACACTGTCTCGTGGTTGGGCATATCACATGACTACTGAATAATAAAATCGCGAGTCTCGTCGCTTTGAAATCCACAATACAAAGGCTACGCATAGGTTTATATCGCGTTTGAGGAAGCATTTATCAGACTATAGCATTATTCCGTTTTCTAGAACAGCACAATATAACTTATCTTCAACATGGCTTGCTGCAAATCTTTCGCTAAATTTACGTTGATGCTATTTAATATATTCGTATGGGTAAGTACTGATTTATTGTTATCGTGGTTCTTACTTTGACAATTCACAATATATATTGTAGCACAGCTGTTTAGTCTTAATGATTAATGGATGAAATGATATAAAGTTAACAATAGTAATTTTAAAAAATATGTGGCAAGTTGTACTTAAATTAAGTACCCTGCTGTACGGTCTTACTACTTACTGAATACAGCGCGAAACACCGCAAAGAGCGCAAAAACAGCGCGAAACAGCGCAAAACAGCGCGAAACAGCGCAAAACAGAGGGAAACAGCGCAAAACAGTGCGGAAACAGCGCGAAAGAGCGCAAAACAGAGGGAAACAGGGTGAAGCAGAAAAAAATTTTTGCAATGAGTTCGGGGCACCTTGTTTTGAGTTGGAGTACCACGGCAGCAAATTAAAAACACAAACTAACGTATGTAGCCAGTAATGCTG